TATTTTTAATAAGTTATGGATCTCAGAGGGGAGGGGAGAGGTGGGAGAGAGAGAGAAAAAAAACAAATGATTACAGAAAACCTTCCATCGGCTGCCTCCTGCACGCCCCACTCTGGGGATGGAGCCCACAACCCGGCTTGTGCCCTGCCCGGGAATGGCACCCCACAACCTCTTGATTCATAGGTCGAAGCTCAACCACTGAGCCACACTGGCCTGAGGGCACGTGATGGCTTTAATGGCCTTTTCTGCAGTCACAGCTCTAAAGAACAGAGACAAAAGGTACGTTTGCTTGAAAGTTGGAGGTGAACTTACCAGGCACTTGAGACTCTGGGGCCTCAGGGAGGGACTCGCTCTGAAACCCTCACCCCCAGCCTGTGACCCTGCAGCCACGGTCAGGCGGCCCCAGGACAGGGTCCTCCTGAGACACTCATTCCTCTGCCTCCTGAAGTGCCTCCTCCCAGGCCTCCTGCCGCTGCCCCCTCAGCTCACAGGCCATCCCCACCCTCAGCCCCGCCAGCTGGCACAGCCGCCACTGCGTTTCCCTCTAAAAGAAAATGACACGTTTTCATTGGTTTCAGGGACAGGGATTTGCATCCAGGGTGAGAACTGGCTGCCTCCTGCACCTCCACACCAGGGATAGAGCCCTCAACCCGGGGAATCGAACCAGGGATCAGATCAGAGACCTCCTGGTTCCTAGGCGGAAGCTCAACCACTGAGCCACACTGGTGGGGCACAGCCAGGTGCAATCGCTGTGCCCGGGAGAGAAAGACTGCTTGGCTGTGGGCTGTTAACTCTGATAATTCAGGGTTAGCACCGCATTAACTTAGGGTTCGCACTGCATTTGCATGGGTCTGATCCACCCCTGCGGAGGGGGGTCCCCCTAGCTCCCCATCTCTTGGGGTTCGGAGGTCCGGGGCGCCTTGGCTACGTGCCCGGTTCTGGTTGCCTTCCGGGGGGCGTCTCTGCAGCCTGGAGGGTCCCCGATTCCAGACATTAGTATCCGCCGCTTCAGCAAAGTGTTAAAGCACTCGGGCCTGTGACAGGTTCCAGGAGGGGGCCTGGGAGGGGTGAAGACTCCATGCAAAGGGCGCCTCTCCCGGGAAGGGGTGTCAGCGGGGCCTCTGGCCGCCTGCCGAGGGCGTTCCTGGGACAGCGGGCCACATGGCCATCCCGTCAGAGGCCTGGACGGCAGACACGCGTCAGCGTGAACCCCCGATGCTGATGGCTGTGCAGGAGGAGGCCCTGGTTTATAGGAAATTGCCCCTGGTATTTGCGAGAAAAAAATATAACATTTTAGGGGTCACAGGATATCACACGGGGAATTTCAGGTTGCTCGTGAAGAGAGGTCTCTGTGCTGTACTTGTCACTTTACTGTAGTTTGGCTTTGGAATGGCTTAAAAAAAAAAAGTTTAAACAAACGGTGCAATTCCAGATGTGTCCACAAGACGGCGACATAACATCACAAAAGTGGTCTTACCAGGTATATGGATTAATAACGGGGATTTTTCCCCCCCATAGATGCAGTTATTAGTAATGAACTAAAACTTCACGCAAATGCTCTTTTCTTGGGCATTAAACTCGACATTTTTAGGCGTTAAAATACCTATGATGTGAACGCCTTCAGAAAATATGAAGTTTTGAAGATTGTCATTCAAAATAGCATCCGTATCAAATCGCACACATATCCACATATGTGCACTTGCCATTTTGCTTACCGGGCTTTGAGAAAGTTTTTGATTGCGTACCGGGGGCGTCTCTGCAGCCTGGAGGGTCCCCGATTCCAGACATTAGTATCCGCCGCTTCAGCAAAGTGTTAAAGCGCTCGGGCCTGTGACAGGTCCCAGGAGGGGGCCCGGGAGGGGTGAAGACTCCATGCAAAGGGCGCCTCTCCCGGGAAGGGGGTGTCGGCGGGGCCTCTGGCCGCCTGCCGAGGGCGTTCCTGGGACAACGGGCCACATGGCCATCCCGTCAGAGGCCTGGACGGCAGACACGCGTCAGCGTGAACCCCCGATGCTGATGGCTGTGCAGGAGGAGGCCCTGGTTTATGGGAAATTGCCCCTGGTATTTGGGAGAAAAAAATTACAATATTGGGGGGGGGTCACGGGGTATCACACGGGTCATTTCAGATTGCTCCTGAAGAGACGTCTCTGCTAGTGAATTTTCTGTAGTTTTGCTTTGGGATCGCCTAAAAAAGTTTAAGCAGACGCAATTCCAGAGATGTCCACGAGGCGGCGCCCTCGGACCACAAACCTGGTTTTACTTGCCATTCAGCTTGCTGGGTTTTTGAAAAGGTTTATTATTATTTTTTTAATATGTTATTGATCTCAGAGGGGAAGGGAGAAGGGCAGAGAGAAACACCAATAATGAGAGAGGATCATGAATCGGATGCCTCCTGCACCCCCACACCATGGATGGAGCCCCCAACCAGGAATCGGACCCCTGACCTCCTGTTTCATAGGTCAAAGCTCAACCACTGAGTCACACCCGCTGGGCAGCGCCCACGTGTAATTGCTGTGTCCGGGAGAGAAACAGATTCTCCTCGGTGTCATGGGTTCGATCACCCCTGCGGAGGGGCCACCCCAGATCCCACCCCAGCACATACTGGCGCTGCTCGGGGTCCAGGCCCAAACAGTGGAAGAGCCAGGCTCCCGATCGCTTGCAGGTCCGAGGTCCAGGGCCCCTTGGCCACGTCCCGGGTTCTGGTACTTTCCGGGGCGGCTCTGGCACCTGGAGGGCACCTGATTCTGGGCACTTGTATCCGCTGGTTAAGCAAAGTGTTAAAGCGCTTGAGTCTTTAAGAGGCTCAAGGAGCCCTAACCGGTTTGGCTCAGAGGATGGAGCGGAATTGAACCCGGGACATTTCAGTCCACAGACCGACGCTCTATCCACTGAGCCACACCGGTCTCGGCTCAGTAAGATATATTTTTTTAAAAATGTGTCTGTGTGCTTGGGAATTTTTCGGGGAGGGAAGGTCTAAACATACCCAGAGGTACCAGGTGAGAGACTTTTAGTTTTTTTTTATTAAAAAATAAAAAGAACGAATTCCATTTTACTTCTCCCGCACCCAGGCCCGGCGAGTGTGGGTGGTGAGCCTTCGGCTCCTCTCGATGCTGTAACAGACGCTTGGCAAACTGTTTCCATGACGAGCTGAAAGCCGACGTTCGGAAAGTCTAGGAAGCCATGACTTTATTCCATAGTTTAAGTCCCACTGGAATCTCAAGCGGCTTCACACTGTCCAGTGTGACAGGGGGTTTTCACTAAACCACCTGCTTGTCTTGCGAGTCGGCCCCGGACCGAAGAACACGGTTACGTATGAGTTTCCAGACCATCAAATGGTTACAACTTACAGCCTTCCGCAGGCTCCCAAGTTAGACTTGAGACCTTCATGGCCTGGACACAGGAAGCGTTCTCACAGTTCATTCCTGCGGAACTGCTCATGGTTCATGTGCATTAAAATCACCTTAAAAATCCTGGTCATTTGACCTTAAAAGGGGGACGGCGGGGGGGAAGGGGAGGGAGCCCTAGCCAGTGTGGCTCAGTGGATAGAGCTTCGGCCCGCAGACTGAAGGGTACGGGGGTTTGATTCTGGTCAAGGGCACGGAGCTCAGTTGCAGGCTCCTCCCCGGCCCGGGCCCTGGTCGGGGTGCGTGCAGATGGCAACCAGTCGATGTGTTTCTCTCACATTGATGTTTCTGTCTTTCCTTCCCTCTCCCTAAAAAAAAACAAAATCAATAGAAAAATATCCTGGGGGTGGGAGGGGAAGATATGGCCAGGTCTTTCCAGATCTCGCTCTGGAGTTTTCAGTAGTAAGCTCATTGAATATGCGTGTTTTCTGAAGGAAGGGGTGTGGCTTGTTGAAAGCTTGGAGGAAGCTAGGTTTATGTATTTATTTATTTTTAAAATATGTTTCTGTGGATGTCAGAGAGGAAGGGAGAGGGAGGGAGATAGAAACATCCATGATGAGAGGGGACCATGGATCGGCTGCCTCCTGCACGCCCCCCACTGGGGATGGAACCCGCACCCGGGAATCCAACCATGACCTTCTGGTTCACAGGTGGATGCTCACCCACTGAGCCACACCGGCCTGGGAAGCTGGGGGCCTAAGGCAGACTATTTGGGGGAGGGATTTTGGGGGGGACTTTCTTCCTAAGATCGTCAGTTGTGTCACAAGCACTTGGGCGAACGGCTAACCCGGAACCAGACAGCAGGGCGTGGCCTGCCCATCGGCAGCACCGCACTGACCACCCGCCTTGACCTCCGGTCCGCGCGGGGTCTACGGGCTTGATGGCCACGGCAAGGGGACCGGCACCCCTGGCAAGGCCACGCCGGCCACCCCGAGCCTCCTCCCGTCCACGTCACCCTCCTGAGCTCTCCGCCCACCCACTCCCAGGACACGCCGCGACCCGGGCTGCATCCGCACTGTGGGGTGACCAGCGCCCGCCCGCCCGCCCGCCCGCGGGGCGGCTGGAGGGGGACAGAGGACCCTCCCCGCGGTCACAGCCGCCCACAGTGCTGGACGGAACGACGGCCTGGCTCCCGGCTTCCTGACTTGCAGCATCGACGTCCGTGCAGAGCCGCCCGTGGACTTGACCTTGGCTCCCGCAGACGGGGCGTCCGCTGCCGGAGGCGCAGGATCCACCTTCAGCGGAATGTGGACGGTCGTTAAAGCCGGGGCGCTCAGGCCCCACACGTCCAGGACAGACATCGGCTCTGAAGCATCTCCAGCCACGGAGAGGCGCTGGGTGTCGGTGTCTTAAAGGATGAAGATGCTTCGAGACAAAACCCTTACAGAGCTGAGACGCAGGGAATTATCTCCGTCGATGGCTCCAGGGGCACCTGCTGCCCAGGCCGGGGGAGGGAGGGGGCCGGGCTGCACCAAAGGGGAGCCTGTCTGGGGCCCCCGGAGGAGCCTGGCACCGGGGCCGGGCCTCACCCCGCGCCCCGCTCCGGGGAAGCCTGCAGTTCTGGTTCGTTTTCTCTCTTTTATTGACGAGGCCCCGTCAGGCGCGGGCCGAGTAGCACCGCATGTACTCCGTGACCCACGGGCTGTCCGGGGCGGCCGGCGCGGGCCTCCGGCCCTTCTCCGCGTCCACCGAGTGCGCGCGCTGCCTCTGGGCTGCCAGCCGCCTCCTCTCCACCTGCCGCCTGGTCCTGGCCCGCAGCGCCGACTCGTGGATCTGAGGAGCGGTTCATAAAGGGGGGAAAAAAGAAGCAGATATGATGTCAGAGGTTTTTATGAACCGATTTGCGAGAATAATTATATATTAAATATTTAGCCCCAGCCGGTGTTGCTCAGTGGGTAGAACGTCGGGCTGCGGACTGAAGGGTCCCGGTTTGATTCCGGTCAAGGGCATGGACCTTGGTGGCGGGCACGTCCCCAGGAGGGGGTGTGCAGGAGGCAGCTGATCGATGTTTATCTCTCATCGATGTTTCTAGCTCATCCCTCTCCCTTCCTCTCTGTGAAAAAAATCAATAAAATATTTTTAAAAGAGTTTTAAAAATATCTAAATGAACAATATAAACTGATGAACAAAAATAGATCCAGAGACAGAGAAACATGGATCAGACCATGAAACCTCAGAGGGAAGGTAGGGGAGAGATGCAAAGGCTAAGCAGCCAGTTTTCTAGAGATTGGCTCTGGAAAATCACCGGAGCGGCTTCGCCTTGAGCATGGGCACATATTCCATGAAAGGACTTGAAATGTTTTACAGCAAAGCAGTTAAAAAAGAAAAAAGAAAAATCCTCCAGGGATGGTGCCACCTCGGACATTTGATGCCATAGATATGCCTGGTTAAACCTGACCCCAGGGACCAGCCAACTGGTCTTTGTTAAACCCCCGCTCTGTTGTCTCAGATATCCCGCTAACTAACACCATCTGCCGGGGCAGAAGGCTGTTTGGTAAAAATGGGATTATGGCATTTAATCAGAATTCAGTCTGCGCTTTCTCCTTCTGCTTCTCTTTTTTTTTTTAATATCTATATATATAAAAGCCTAAGCGACTGTTATGACCAGATGACCGTCTGGTAGCTATGATGTGCACTGACCACCAGGGGGCAGATACTCAACACAGGAGCTGCCCCCTGGTGGTCAGTGCACTCCCACAGCCAACCTCCTGCAGCTGGCCAGCCTCCTGTGGTCCTGCCCCCCTCCCCGCCACCAGCCCCGATCATCCCCAATCACTGGTCAGGCCGAGGGACTCCACTCATGCACGAATTCACACACCAGGCCTCTAGGGTGTATATTTATTTATTTTGAAGGGAGAGGGAGAGAAAAAAAAAAAATCAATGAGAGAGAATCATGGACCGACGGTCTCCTGCACACCCCCTACTGAGGGTTGTGGGCTCGATCCCCAGTAGGGGGTGTGCAGGAGTCAGCCGATCCATGTTTCTCTCTCATCATGGATGTTTCCTTCTCTCTCGCCCTCTCCCTTCCCCTCTGAGATCAATAAAAATAAATAATAAAACAGGATGGAGGACCCAGTACAGTGTCCCTCCAAGGAGCACACCTGTGCCCTCCCTCCCCCTGCCCTTTCCCCTCCCTCCAAGGGGAAGCCGAGAGACAGGCCCACACACACACACACACACACACACACACACACACACACACACACCTCGTGCACGGGTGCAGAGGCACAGACGTTGTGGGTCCTCTGGCCGCCTGTGTCTGTCCGCCGCTCCCCCCACCCGTACAGAGCGAAGGGGTGCTTGGTCTCTCTCGTTCTACTCGGCGACCTCGCAGGACTTCGCGCCGCCTTCCTGTCCCGGCGGGCGAACAGGGCGCTGGGGTGCTGGCGGGGTCGGGTGCAGCCGGGCGCCCGGTCCGTCCCCGCCATCCCGGCCTCCTCCTCGGGCTTCTCCTTGACGCCTTTGACTGGCGGTGCTTCTTCAAAAGAGAGAGAGAAGACAAGAGTTAGAGCTTTAAAGCCCGGGCTGGAGCCTAGTGCCTCTAGCTGTCTGGGCTGAAGGACACAGCAGGCCTCACTGAGGCAGCAACCTTTTCACCGATCGTCCTGTTCGCATGTTTCGCTTAACGCAGATGCTGAAACCGGCGGTTTCGAACCTGAGGCCCCATTTTTATTTCATTTACTTTTTTTTTTTTCTTCTTTTAAAGAATCATTTATTGATTTTTTAGAGAGAGCAGGAGAAGAGAGAAACATGGATGAGCGTAAACCATCCACTGGCTGCCTCCTGCACACCCCTTCCTGGGGATGTGCCTGAAACCAGGCTACATGCCCTTGACTGGAATCGAACCCGGGACCCTTCAGTCCGCAGGCCGTCGCTCTATCCACGGAGCTGAACCCGCTAGGGCTTCTGAGACTAAATATTCAAAGAGATCTCTTCTCGGGTGGCATGGCTCGGTGGCTGAGCGTTGGCCTGTGAACCAGGAGGTTCGATTCCCAGTCAGGGTACGTGCCCCCTGTTGTGGGCTCCATCCCCAGCAGGGGGCGTGCAGGAGGCAGCCGATCCATGATTCTCTCTCTCCACTGATGTTTCTCTCTCTCTCACCCTCTCTCCCTTCCTCTCTGAATTAATTTAATTTAATTTTTATTTTTTTTTTAAAGTAAGGGACCTCTTGGGCCTAATGGCTTTCTCCAAACCCCAAGACAAATCCCAGCTCGGGGTGGAGGATCTGGATTGGTGAGAATCACCCAGCAGCTACACAGGTGCGCCTGTAAGTCTCAATCCGAGCTCCAGGCTCCCCTCACCCCCGATGCTCCCCCCTCCGGGCACCGCCCACGTGGCTCTGACAAGCTCCAGGGAGGAGGGAGCTGGTCACCTCCACCTGAAAGGCCCATCACAATGGGCTGTGGTTCCCATGGTTACCCACATCCCCAGGGTGAAGAGACCTGGGAGCCGGGTGTAAGGGGCTGGCCCTCCACTGGCAGCAGGAATGCCCCCGTGACCACAGGCCACCTGCCCCCTGTGCTGTGGGCAGAGCCGCGACCGGTGTCACACCTGCCCGCCCCCGTGGTGAACACTCCAAAGCACCACTATTTCCCCTCATGGCCTTTCGTGGTTCTGCCACCCATCACTCTTTATAAATCCCCTGGTTTTGTTTTTGTTTTTTTGTTTTTTAATATATCTTATTGATTTTTTACAGGAAGGAAGAGGGAGAGAGAGCTAGGAACATCGATGAGAGAGAAACATCGACCAGCTGCCTCCTGCACGCCCCCTACCGGGGATGTGCCTGCAACCAAGGTCCATGCCCTTGACCGGAATCGAACCTGGGACCCTTCAGTCCGCAGGCCAACGCTCTATCCACCGGGCCACACCGGTTTCGGCCATATTACTCTTCGGTTGTCTAATTAGCATATTACGCTTTTTTTTAGGTCGACTCGAAGAGAGAGACGCCGAAAGTTCCCCAAGGCGGGGAGGTGCGGTCTACAACAGAACTAGGATCCGAAGGAGCCGAAACTGTCACACCCCGCCCAGCGGTGCCTCCAGATGCGGAGACAGTAATTCCTTCCGCCCAGGGTCCCCTGCCCAGCCACCCCCTCGCCAGGCTGGGGGGCAGGAAGAGGGCTATCCTGGGACATGCGGGGTCTCAGAAAAGTCTGCCCCAGGAGGGGCTCCATCAAGAAAGATGCCGGGAAGCCACACCATGAGGCTCTTCCCCAGGAGAAGCCCCGGAGCCCAGGGCGGGAGCCACAAGCACCACCCGCAGCCGCCGCCCAGAGCAGAGGGAAGTAGGTCAGAGGCCCTGGCTGGGCGATGTCCTGAGCGATAGGGAGCCCGAACCTGACGGGCTGGCTGCGCTGGGAAAGAGAGAAAAGGGCCAACGAAGTAGGGCAGCTTTTTTTTTTCATCCTCACCCGGAGATATTTTCCCGTTGATTTTTATATTTTTTAAAAATATATTTTATTGATTTTTTTACAGAGAGGAAGGGAGAGGGATAGAGAGCTAGAAATACCGATGAGAGAGAAACATCCATCAGCTGCCTCCTGCACACCCCCCCACTGGGGATGTGCCTGCCACCAAGGTCCATGCCCTTGACCGGAATCGAACCTGGGACCCTTGAGTCCGCAGGCCGACGCTCTATCCACTGAGCCACACCGGCCAGGGCCATGTAGGCAGCTCTGAGCCTCACGTGCTCCCGCACAGAAGTGTAGATACTCGTCATGAAGCTGACAAACTCCATGACGCCTGTATGCAGAGGGGGTAGCCATGGGCTGTGTGTACGGGTTAGGACAGAGGTAACAAGAGAGCCGATAGGTGTTAAAAACTTAAAAAACTCAGGACACCCCCAACCGGTGAGGCCTATGAACTGAAGGGCCCCGGGTTCGACTCCGGTCAAGGGCCTGTGCCTTGGTGGCGGGCACATCCTCAGTGGGGGGTGTGCAAGAGGCAGCTGATGGATGTTTCTCTCTCATCGATGTTTCTAGCTCTCTATCCCTCTCCCTTCCTCTCTGTTAAAAAAAAAATCAATAAAATATATTTTCTAAAGAAATACAAATAAAATCCAGACACCTCCTTAGAAGGCGGCAGGAAGGCACCGCTGGCTACTGTATCCCAGTGGTTGAACTTGGCCCTCAAAACCCCCACCTGCCTCCCGGGCTGAGCCCCCAACTCTGCAGCCCTCTGGGCAGGAAAGAGGGGGGACAGACCTGGGCTGACCCAGCAGAGGTGCAGCCCCCCAAGGCCATTTCCCAGCTACTGCTGAGGGCGAAATGGCGGGGGGAAGGGAAGGGGACCCCCCCACCGGCCAGGCCCTCGCCCCACCCGCCGGAGTGACGTCACCCCCGTGTAAACAAATGCAAATTGCTCCCCGGGGGCCCACACACCAGGTCCCCAGGTCCCGGGGTTCACACCCCAACACAACAGCTCCATTCACAAGACACAGAGCTCAGCGCGGTGGATCTGAGCCTCCTGGAGAGCCTCTGACGAAAGCTGGGCTCTTCTCATTAAAAAAAAGGGGGGGTGCTTAGGGATGCACAGATCGGGGTGCACGGGCTCCCCAAAGCCACCTCGCCCTCGCTGCAGGCTCGAGCCCCCAGATTAGGGAAATAAGGGGGGAAGGGGCCGAGGGGCGGGTTGACAAGCTCCCTTAGTTTGTCTCTAGGGGGGCGGATTCCCCGTTCATTCAGGGGATAAGGCAGCTCTGGCCCGTGTGGCTCAGTGGATAGAGGGTCGGCCCTGCCGGACCGAAGGGGTCCCGGGTTCGGTTCCGGTCCAGGGCACTTAGCTCGGTTGCAGGCTCCTCCCCCTCCTCCCCGGCCCCGGCCCTGATCGGGGCTCGCGTGCAGGAGGCAACCCATCGATGTTTCCCTCCGTCTCTCCCTCCCCCTCCCACGCTCCCTGAAAATCCATGGAGACGTGTCCTCGGATGAGGATTAAAAAAGAAAGGAAAAAAGGAAGAAGGAGAGAAAGAGGGGGCGGTGCGATGCCAAGGGCACCTCCAGTTCTCCGAGCATCACCCCCCCTCGCCCCGATCCCGCACCCCCCGCCCCCCGGCCCGGTACCTGGCACAGGCGTGTCCTCCGCATCCCCGGCCTCCGCATCCCCGGGCTTCGCCGCCGGCTCCTCCCGGGACCCGCGCGCCCCCCGGGCCGGGCCCTCCGCGGGCGGCGGCGGCGGGGAGGCAGAGGCGGCCCGGGGCGCGGGGCTCCCGGCGCACGACGACGCCGACGACGCCGAGTCGTCGGAGGAGCCGGCGGGGCCCCAGGCGTCCCAGAGCCAGGGCGCGTGCGCCTGCTCCAGCAGCCGGCGGCCGCGGCGGTAGTGCAGCAGCTCCCGGTAGCAGGCCGCGTACTCGGCCCAGCGCGGGTCCCGGTAGCGCTTCATGTACTCGCTCTTGGCGCCGCAGCCCGGGGACATGGCGCCGCCGCCGCCGGCCTCCGTGCCCGCAGGTCCCGCCGCCGGCCCCGCCGCCGCCGCCGCCTGCGGAAGCCGGGACACGACACAGAGGCCCGGCCGCCCTCCGGCCGCCCGGCCCGCCGCGACATTTAAATCCGGAGCCCCGCCCGCAGCGGCGGCCGGGGCGGGGCGGGGCGGCGGGGCGCGGGGTAAAGGGGAGGCGGGGCTAGGGATGGGAGGGGCGGTGCTATAGGCGGGCGGGGCTTTGGGAGGCGGGGCTAGGGGTGGGAGGAGCGGCGCTACAGGAGGGCGTTGCCTTGGGGGCGGTGCTTTGGGAGGCGGGGCTAAGAGTGGGAGGGGCAGTGCTATAGGAGGGCGGTGGTTAGGGGCGGTGCTTTTAGAGGCGGGGCTAGGAGTGGGAGGGCGGTCCTATAGGAGGACGGGGCTTTTGGAGGCGGGGCTAGGAGTGGGAGGGCGGTGCTATAGGAGGACGGGGCTTTTGGAGGCGGGGCTAGGGGCGGGGCGAGACGCGGAGGGCCGGCGGGAGGATGGGAGAGGCGGGGGACGTGGCGCGGGGAGGCGGGGAGGAGCGCGGGGCAACGGAGAGGCGGGGCGGGCGGGGGTGAGGAGACTCGGGGCGCAGCAGGCAGTGGGCGGCCCGGCCTCGGTGACGGGGGGTCCCGGGGGCACCTGCTCGCCAGGCATTTCAGCTCGCAGCCAGGGCCTGGGAGCGTCCGTGGGTCCGAGTCGGCGGCTCCAGGGGAGAGGGCGAGCGGCCCGGGCTGCGGGGGTGCGGGTCACCCGGGCAGGCGATCGGGAGCGTGGGAGCCAGAGCTGCGGGCCGGGCGGGGCCGGAGGGCCGGGGAGCGGGGATGGGGAGCGGGGATGGGGGGGGGGAGGCCCAGGAGCCCAGAACGCGAGGGCGGGGATGGGGCTGGGGATCCAGGGAGCGGAGGGGCCTCCGCGTCCCCCGAGCGCCCCGCGGGGAAGCCTTACCTCCTTCCGGCCGCGCCGGCCCGTCCTCCGCGCGTGGAACGGGGAGCGGCCCGCCGGCCCGGCTTTCCTCCTCCCGCGCAGGACGTCGCCGATGGCGCCCGGTTGCCGCGCAGCCCCGCCGGGAGCAGACGCCGCCCCGTCCCCGTCCCCGGGCAGACGCCTCCCCCGCGCTCCGCCCGGCTCGTGGGGGCGGCTGCCTGAGCGCTGAGCGGCGGGGAGCCGCGGGTGGGCGCCCCGGGGTCCCGCGTTTCACCCTGTCCGGGACCAGCTGGCCACCCGCGTCCCCAGCCTGACACCCAACACCTCCACGTCCTCCCCGAGGCTCTCCCTTCCTCTCTGTGACTCCGGCTTTAACCCATTTTCACGATTTAGTCTAACTCCTTGTCTACAACTCAAACCTTTAAAAATCTATCTTATTGATTTCAGAGAGGAAGGGAGAGAAAGAGAGAGAGAAGAAGAAACATCAATAATGAGAGAAAATCATGGATCAGCTGTCTCCTGCACACCCCCACATTGGGGATCGAGCCCGCATCTCCAGCCTGTGCCCTGACTGGGAATCCAATCCTGACCTCCAGGTTCATAGGCTGACATTCAGCCACACACCGGCCAGACAGGCCCAGCTCTTTTTATTTTATTTACTTATTTGTTTTGTTGTTGTTGCCCTTGGCTGGAATCGAACCCAGGACCCTTCAGTCTACAGGCCAATGCTCCATCCACTGAGCCAAACCAGCTAGGGCCCCAGCTCTTTTTATAAATCTTGCTCATACACAATTCATTCTTTGCATCTCATGCAGCTGAAGATCTTGGGGGAAAGCTGGAGGCTAAGGTTCATAAAGTTTTTTTGCCTCATAAAATAATAATAATAATAATAGTAATAATAATAATAAATAATAATAAAATCACATCAGACCTACTCAGCAGGCCTGACCTCGGCTCTGAGTCCTCCGAGAGGCAGGGGGCAGGCTCGCTCACCTCCTCTCCAGCTGCCCCAGATGCCTGCCTGTCACTCCATCACCTCCCTGTCAACTGCCCGCCCATTGGGCAGGGCCTGCGCCTCCCACAGGCTCAGCTACAAGAGCCCACCTGGCCCCGGGCCTCCAGGGAGTGTGGTTCCAGTTTCCAAAATTAGCTCTCCTGGTCCAGTAACTGCCCGGTAAACATGCCCATCTGTTTCCAACAAAGCCCCTGCCGGCCAGGAGCTAGGTCCATTGGTTTATTTGTTTAAAATACACGGAGTGGCCAGATATGATGATCTCTGGATGAATAATCATCTGGCCACTCAGTGTCTGTCCCATAGAATAAAAGGCTAATATGCAAATTGTCCCCTCGACCAGGAGTTTGACCAGCAGGCAGGCTGGCCAACGGCCCATGTCCCCTCCCCCTGGCCAGGCTGGCCAGACCCCACCCATGCACGGATTCATACACCTGGCCTCTACCACACACACACACACACACACACACACACACAATATATATATATATATATATATATATATATATATATATATATATATATATATACTGAGTGGCCAGATTATTATGCATTCAGAGATCATCATAATCTGACCACTCAGTATATATATATATATATATATATATATATATATATATATATATACTGAGTGGCCAGATTATTATGCATTCAGAGATCATCATAATCTGACCACTCAGTGTGTATCTATCTTTACTGATATCAGAAAGGAAGGGAGAGAGACGGAAACATCAGTGATGAGAATCATGGATCGGCGGCCTCCTGCACGCCCCCCGCTGAGAATGGAGCCCGCAACCCGGGCATGTGCCCTGACCGGGAATCGAACCCTGACCTCCTGGTTCAGAGGTCGACCCTCAACCACTGAGCCACATGGGCCAGGCTGAGGGGGCAGCATGAAAGGGCCCCAGAAGCACCAGAGGCGCCTTCCGTCTTTGCACCTGGAAGAGCCGTGGGCCTGTTCTCCCACACCCATGCTCCCCCCCCCAAGTTCAGGTTCAGGGACAAGTTCCCTGCACAGACTGGACCTGGACAGACCCCCCCCCCCCCGGAGGCTCGCCCATGGCTGCCCGGCGGCGTCCCTGGGACCTAATAATACGCACAAATCAGAAGGCGGGCTGCGGGCCCTGGCCATGCAAGGAGAGGCCGAAAGCTGATACCGGCCGCCTGTCCCCGCGGTGGCCTTGCCCTAAAGCGGCAGGGCGTCCGCTCCAGGCCAGGGCCCCCCAGGCCAGGCCCTCCCCTCAGGCCAGAGCCCCCCGCCGGGTGTGCCAGGCGCCCTATAACGAGAGGATGAGCCGGCTGGCGGGAATGGCAGGCATGCGACCCAGCTGTCGTGGCTGAGCCCAGCCCAGGAAGGCTGCCCTGTCCCTCCCTGTCCCTCCCTGTCCCCACATCTTCCCCAGCTCCGGCTCCGGGGCCAGGACGGGCAGCCCCTCTCATGGCCCCGGGGACAGGAGAATGAGCCCGGGAAACGGACAACCAGCCCCGAGAAGGCGGAGGCCACTGGGAGAGGGAGAAGTCAGAAGCCTGGTTCAGGAAGGCGGGGGGCTCTCGTCCATGCTGACCGTGACGTGGGGTGGGGGGCGGACTCTAGGAGGAAAATGCCTCCCGCCATCTTGTGCCCAGCACCCCCACATTCCTTCTGGGCATCCAGGACTCTGGAGTGAGTAACAGATCAAAGACAGGGGTTCTTTTTTATTTTTATTTTTTAAATATATCTTTTTAAATATATTTTATTGATTTTTTTACAGAGAGAGAGAGAGAGAGAGAGAGTCAGAAACATCCATGAGAGAGAGTCATCAATCAGCTGCCTATTGCACGTCCCCTACTGGGGATGTGCCCACAACCAAGGTATATGCCTTTGACCGGAATCGAACCCGGGACCCTTCAGTCCACAGGCTGACACTCTATCCACTGAGCCAAACTGGTTTCGGCTTTAAATATATCTTGATTGATTTAAGAGAGGAAGAGAGAGGGGACACAGAGAGAGAGAAAAACATCCATGTTGAGAGAGAATCATGGATCGGCTGCCTCCTGCATGCCCCTCACTGGGGATCGAGCCCACAACCTGGGCATGTGCCCTGGACCGGAATCCAACTATGACCTCCTGGGTCATAGGTGGACGCCAACCACTGAGCCACGCCGGGCCGGTACCACGGGCTTCATGGTGCACCTTTAGCTTGGGATCCTATCATCCACTCTCAGCCTCATTTTCCAAATCTAAAATGGGAATCCTTCCGGCTTTCTCAGGAGCCAACTGCTCCTTAATGCTGAAGGGGCCCCTCAGCCCAGTCATCATACTGGCTGCTCGGCCGGCAGCCTGGCACCGAGCCCCCCGTGGAGGGAAGGAGGTGGACGGGGAGCACATGATTAGAGGGGAGGGGGACTGGCCGCTGCTCTCAGGGAGCACCTGAGATCCATGAGACCCACCGCAGGCATTTGGGGCCTCAGAAAGGGTCCTGGCAGTTCAAGGTCAGGCTGCCCTTGTCCCTGGGGCCGGCACATGCTCAGGAAAGACAAACATTTGTGGATAAATGGAGGCACATGAGGGGTGAGGCCCCATGTGTGAGAGCGATGTCTCAGGAAATGGGGTTTGGGGTCCCCTCAGTGTGCTCAGGGGGGCTGGCACGGCACGTGCACCCTCTGTGGCCCCGTCCCACCCCGCCCCGCCCTGCAGGGCCTACCCAGCCGCTCCGGCTCTAATTTGGAGTCTGGAGTCGGCTCTGTCCAAGCAGCCCCGGGGGGGGGGGGGGACATCAGGCCACTTGTCAGTGTCCCTCTGCTTCCTTCTAGGGTCAGGCCGAGCGCGTGAGGGAGCGGACAGCTGTCTGTCCTGGGAGTCCCCGGCAAAGATGAACCCTCGCCAGGCCGGGTGCCTGCTCCTGGGGGTGCAGCCCGGGCACCGGGCTGTGCCAGGCTCAGCCGCTCAGGCCCTGGGCCTCCGCCTCGGGCATGTGCCCTGACCAGGATTCCAACGGTGACCTACTGGTTCCTAGGTTGATGCTCAACCACTGAGCCACATGGGCCGGGCCTCTACTTATTCCTGATAATCTACTGTCTGCTCCGCTCTGAGCACCAGTGGGCCTCCCACTCCCTGGCTGGGGCCACATGTAGGTGCCCATTAGCACAGCTTCCCTGAGCCCCTCCTGCTGCTGTCGTCGTCCCCCCCCCCCCCCTCCGTGGAGTGCCAAGCCCAGGCTGCTGTTCTGGTGACCCCAGTCCTTAGCGCCTGTTTATTAAATTAAAGAGACGGCGCTCCGGCTTTATAATTCCCAGTTAGGCCTCTACAGGACTCAGATTCTCTGCCACCGGGCACTTACCCAGCCTGGCAGATCTGAGCAGGCGCTGGGATAAAAATAGAAGCGGGCGAGGGAGCTGGCACCAGGCTCCCCGGGTGGCAGGCAGCAGGGCTGGCAGACAGCTGCGGCCTCCCTCCCCCTCCCTTCCCCTCCTGCTCCTCTACCCCCTCCCCTCTCTTCCCTTCTCCCCTCCCTCCTCCCTCCCTCCTCCCACTGCCCTTCCCTCCCTGACATCCCTCCTCTGCTCCCCCTCCCCCCTCCCCCCCTTCCCAGCGCACAGAACACAGATCCTGGGAGCCACCAGGTGGAAAGGATGGAGGGGAGAGGTTCCCCTAGGTTCACTGACGTTAAGAGGCACCCCCCCCCTCGGTGCCTGGGTGGGAGGGAATGCAAACAGCACCTGCCTCCTGCTCCTGCGGGTGGGCTTCCTGCAGCCAACGTTCCGTTCTGGGGAGCCTCCAGCCTGGAACCCACTGAGAGGAGGGACCAGCCTGCACCCCATCTCAGGGCCAAATCTGCTCTGTCCCCCCAGCAGCTGTCCCTGGCTCCCACACCGGGCTGCTCACAGCTCCGGCTGCCCCTCGGCTCAGTGAGGATCTGCTGTGAATCAGAGAACCCAGGCCCGCCACAGTCACAGATCTCACTCTCTCTCTCTCTCTCTCTCTCTCTCTCTCTCTCTCTCTCTCTCTTAGAACAAAGAGAAAGGAAACAGGCTGAAAGACCTCAGAGGGAAAGAGATCAACCAAAGAACATGTATGCACAGCTGCCAGGCCCCTGGACACAGACCGGGTGAAGGAGGCCTGGGGTAGGGAGGGCGGAGGGGGGCGGAAGGGGAGAAATAGGAGACGTCTGTCATAGAGTCAACAACACACGTAAAGCAAAGAAGGAGGAAGAAAGAAAACAAAACAAAAGAGAGACAACATCGATGCTGAGCAATGATGGGTCTGCTCAGGTGCCTCTCTGCATCCCCCCCCCTCCCCCACTTCCTCCCGCAGCACCCACTTCCTCCCAGGGCTGGGCCCCACCTGGCTGCTCCTCCTCCACCTGTTACACCTGCTGACCCTTCTGGGTCCCTCCACCTGCCCGTGTTCCCTGGCCCCGGGCGCCCCTGGCTTGTTCTCTGCTGTCAGGCCCACGCCCCTGCTTCCCAGCACCTGAGAATTTTGATTTCCACCGCGATGTGTTAACTGTCTGCCCCACGACGTGGTCAGCCGAGGGCTGGGCCCCCTGGGTTCCTGGCTCACCACCGTTTCATCTGCCATCACAGGCCGGGCCCAGAGCATGCTCAGTAACCGTTTGCCGAAGAAGCCAGCCAGTTAATTGATGACTAGAAGCTGTGCCCATTAGCAGGGCCATAGCGGAGTGAGAATGAGTTAAAGAATAACCAATGGTTAAACATCAACCTATGAACCAGGAGGTCATAGTTCCATGCCTGGTCAGGGCACATGCCTGGGGTTGCAGGCTCAGTCCCCAGGAGGGGGTGTGCAAGAGGCAGCCGATCGATGATGTTCCTCTCTCCTTGATGTTTCTATCTCCTTCTCCCCCTTTCTCTCAGAAATCAATAAAAATTTATTTAAAAGAATAAAGAAAGTTTAGCTACTTTCAGCCTGTGCTACCTTGGGATCACGTATGACCATATGTGACGAAGCCAGCTGACCTCTGACCCACTGTCCAGACCCCAAGGCTCCTCCCCTGTCTCAGGATCCTGGCCCCAGGTCACCGCAGGGTCACCAGTGCACAGTCTGCCCAAACCAGTCGCTGCAATGCCACTCCCGGTTGCTGGGGTCGTGCAAATAGACTTTGATTTCCATTTATTTTTTTACTGTTCACTTTAATATTTTTTAAACATTTTTATTAAATTATTATCTTTGTACATATACCATTGCCCCCCTCCCATACATGTCCTCCCTCACTTTAATATTTTTAATATTAACATACAACATATTTCTTGGGGTGGGGGAGAAGGTTGCAAGATATATTAAAATATAAAAAGGCAAAAAAGCCCTGGCTTGTTTGGCTCAGTGGATAGAGCGGTGGCCTGTGGACTGAAGGATCCCAGGTTCAATTCCTGTCAAGGGCACATGCCCAGGTTGTGGGCTCGATCCCCAGGGTGGGGCATGCAGGAGGCAGCTGATCCATGATTCTCTCTCCTCATTGATGTTTCCATCTCTTTCCCTCTCCATTCCTCTCTGAAATCAATTTAAAAAAAATTTTTAAAGCAAAAAAGCATCACCTGTCACCCAACCTACCGAAGCTGCCCTGGGGACCTATCACTCTACCCTCCTTCGTTTGTCCTTTTTTTTTTTTTTTCAGTTTGTCCTTTTGCTCTTCATTTTCTCATTTTCCCTGGCTCAGCTGACCCTGTTGACAGGTGCCACATTGGCATCGGCTGCAAGGCCCCAGGCCCCTCTGCCTCCCAGCTGGTGCAGACAGCCCGGGGAACTTTGCCAGGGAAAAGACTGCAGCTATTGCATTTTATTTTAAATATATTTCTATTGATTTCAGACAGGAAGGGAGAAGAAGAGAGAGAAACATCAGTGATGAGAGAGAATCATGGATCGGCTGCCTCCTGCATGCTCCCTCACTGGGGATGGAGCCCACAACCTCAAGCACGTTCCCAGACTGGGAATGGAACCGTGTCCTCCTGGTTGGTAGGCCGATGCACAACCATTGAGCCACACCGGCCGAGAGCTACTCTCCTTCCAGACACTTCCTTGCTGGGCGGCTCCAGTGGCCTTCCCTCCTCCCCCCTACCCCACCCCCAAATCTGGGCGCCCCTCTTTCCCCCCTCTCTCCTCCCCCCGCACTAAAGAGCGCTTCTCTGCGCCACCATCACGTGGCACGAAGCAAAAGGCTTTCCAGCGGAGAAGGGAGGTGAACATGGGTTCCTTAACCGCCCAACACAACCCTTTGGGCCTGGGGAACCCGGAGACGCGCGCGGGGGTGGAGCAGCGAGCCCTGCGGGCGGCTCTGGGTCAGCACCAGGGCCAGCGCCCGGGCCTGGGCGCGCGGCGGAGGAGAGGGCGCTGGGCGCTTGGGGCCAGGCGCGCCGGCCCGTTTGGAGATGGGATGCGCTCCAGAGGGGAGACCGTGACCCCAGGGAGACCTCACTAAGGTCTTGTAGGGAGCGCACTCAGTATGGTGGAACGTGACGCAAACAAAGGGGGTCCCTCTTGGCCACCCCCCTGTCTCCGATCGCCCCCATCCCATCCCATCCCCTCCCATCCCATCCCCTCCCATCCCATCCCATCCCATCCCATCCCATCCCATCCCATCCCATCCCATCCCATCCCATCCCATCCCACGACCAAGAACTAGACGCAGCGCGTAACAGAGTAGCTGTATTTAATGCTTCACGTTGTTTCTTTCCCTTCCACAGGGCTTTGCTTTTTGAAAAATAACAAAATGAGGTAAATAAGTTAAGGTATATACACGGTCTCAACACTGTGTCGGTTCGCAGCAGCGACGGAGCGGCTGCTGGAGACAAAGTGGCCGCGGTGGGTGGGTGGGTGGCTCGGGGGGGGCCGGGCCGCTGGGCAGCCGCGGGGTCGTCCTGAGGAGAAGGGGCGCGCCCTGCGGGCGGGCACGCGGCGCCTAGAAGCATTTGCGGTGCACGATGGACGGGCCCGCCTCGTCGTACTCCTGCTTGGTGATCCACATCTGCTGGAAGGTGGACAGCGAGGCCAGGATGGAGCCGCCGATCCACACGGAGTACTTGCGCTCGGGAGGGGCGATGATCTGCAGAGAGACGGCGGGGTGTCAGGTTGGGGAGGGGAGGGACGGGGGCCGGGGAGCCGGGGACCCCCAGGGCGCACGGGCCGACGCCCACCTTGATCTTCATGGTGCTGGGGGCCAGCGCCGTGATCTCCTTCTGCATGCGGTCGGCGATACCCGGGTACATGGTAGTGCCCCCCGACATGACGTTGTTGGCGTAGAGGTCCTTCCGGATGTCGATGTCGCACTTCATGATGCTGTTGTAGGTGGTCTCATGGATGCCCGCCGACTCCATGCCTGCGGGGCGCGCCGGGAAAGTGAGCAGGGGCGGGGAGGTGGGGGGATCCCGCGCGCGCCCCGGGGATGAGCGGGGATGAGCGGGGATGGGCCGGGGAGGGCCGGGAAGGGCGGGAAGGGCGTGGAGGAAAGGGGGGTCGGGGCTCACCGATGAAGGAGGGCTGGAAGAGCGTCTCTGGGCAGCGGAAGCGCTCGTTGCCGATGGTGATGACCTGCCCGTCGGGCAGCTCGTAGCTCTTCTCCAGGGAGGAGGAGGAGGCGGCCGTGGCCATCTCGTTCTCGAAGTCCAGGGCCACGTAGCACAGCTTCTCCTTGATGTCGCGCACGATCTCACGCTCGGCTGCAGGGGGGGGGGGGGGGACGGGGCCAGAGGGGAGCCGTCAGCGCGCGCGAGAGCCGGGGACTCTGGGACCCTCTTGTGCGCCCTCCCCGCGCGCTCTCCCCTCCTGGGATGCCCGGCCCCGCGCACCCGTGGTCACGAAGGAGTAGCCACGCTCGGTGAGAATCTTCATCAGGTAGTCCGTGAGGTCGCGGCCCGCCAGGTCCAGACGCATGATGGCGTGGGGGAGCGCGTAGCCCTCATAGATGGGCACGTTGTGGGTGACACCGTCCCCAGAGTCCAGCACGATGCCTGGGAGGGTGGGGAGGGGACAGGGCAGGGGTGAGTGGCCTCTCCAACCTGCGCGCAGGCGCAGCGGGGGAGCCGTGGGCGGGGGTGAGGCCGGCGATCTCTGCGCTCAGGCTGCGGGCGCGCACGCACTGGGGTGGGGTGGGGTTTGGGGATCGGGAACGCGCGCGCAATGGGGTGGGGAGGGATTTGGGGGAGCGGGGAGCGGGCACTCACCGGTGGTACGGCCGGAGGCGTAGAGGGACAGCACGGCCTGGATGGCCACGTACATGGCGGGCACGTTGAAGGTCTCAAACATGATCTGGGTCATCTTCTCCCGGTTGGCCTTGGGGTTCAGGGGCGCCTCGGTGAGCAGCGTGGGGTGCTCCTCGGGGGCCACGCGCAGCTCGTTGTAGAAGGTGTGGTGCCAGATCTTCTCCATGTCGTCCCAGTTGGTGATGATGCCGTGCTCGATGGGGTACTTGAGGGTCAGGATGCCCCTCTTGCTCTGAGCCTCGTCGCCCACGTAGGAGTCCTTCTGCCCCATGCCCACCATGACGCCCTGCGGAGCGGGGACACCGAGCCCTCAGCACCGGCCGGCCGCCTGGACTCCGTGGACCCCGGCCCAGCCCCCTGCGTCCGCCCCCACCCCGTCCACCCGCCGAGGCGCAGCCGGACCTGGTGGCGCGGGCGGCCCACGATGGAGGGGAACACGGCCCTGGGGGCATCGTCGCCGGCGAAGCCAGCTTTCACCAGGCCGGAGCCGTTGTCGCACACGAGGGCGGTGGTCTCGTCTTCGTCGCACATGGTGTTTGGTTTCTGCAGGGACAGAAGGGCCGCGGAGATGCAGGGCGCGTCGGTTCAGGAGGCCCCGCCGCCCCAGCACCGCGCTCCGGCCCGGCCCGGGGGACCTTTGGGCACGTCCAGCCGCGCCGCGCGCATCAAACCAGGGGAACGGGGAAGGGCTGCGCTGAGCCTGGGAGGGGGACACGGGGTGGAGAATCTGGGAATCACACTGGGAATCTCTCCAGCCAGGGACCCTAGGCGCACGGTGTCCCCGGAGCCCTGTGCCTTCGCTGCTGCGGGCAGGAGCCGGGGGCGTGCGCCCACCCTCCCCTGCGCTGAGGCCTCGCCCCCGGAGGATGGGGCTCTGAGATCCACTCGCTGGGCGCGTGTGAGGGCGGAGGGAGCTGGTGGGAAGGGCGGCGACGCCCTGTCCCAGGAGGAACGGCCCTGCGCGTCCCAGACTCAGCAGCCCGCGCCCTTCGCCTGCTGGGAGCGGGCGGGGAAGTCCAGGCCTCGGCTGCCCGGGGCTCTGGCGCTCGGCTGGGAGGGTTTGCATTTGGGGACGTTGAAGGAAAACCCTTTATGCGCCTGGGCGCATGCTAACTGCAGCCCGCGGGGGGATGGATCTGGGGATTTTGGAGAGACTGTGCAAAGGCGCATGGACGGTCTCGCCTCTCCTCTTTGAGATCAGGAGCGCGTGGCTCTGGGGTCCCCGAGGCGCAGGGCGCACGGCCGGGGGGGGGGGGTGCTGATCAGTGAGTGGGTGGGGCCTGTTTCTCCGTCTCTGTCCTGCTCCTGCCCCTACCTGGTCGCTCTCCGGCTGGGGCCCTGGCTGCCACGGAGGGAAGCGAGGCTCCTGGGGCGCTGTCCGCTGCGGTGGCCGAGGGCGCCCCCGCGCAGGGCTTATATAGCCCGTGGGCGCTCCCCCCGCGCCGCCCGCAGGAATGTCTCTCCCCTTTTAGGGCCATATTTGGGAGTTGGGCACTGGAGACCCTCCCACAGCCTGGTCCGCGGCCTGGGCCCCCCGCCCGGGTTCCCTGCGCTGACCATAGAAGGAGCGGCCTGGCCCGCGCCCAGGTACCGCGGGCCGGGCCGTATATGGTGTGTCTCCCCGCCCGGGCGGGAGGGGCCCGGGAGGAGCGAGGGTCAGCGCCCGCGCCTGTGGCTGCACCTGTCCTGCCCGGAGCCGCCCGCCCCGCCCCGTCCACTCTGCGCGCAATGAGCTGCGCACTGGGCCTCCGGACAGCGGCTCCCACGTGTCTCCCCTTCTCCGGGTTCCTTACTCAGACCCCAAACCCTAAGGGAGGAGGGAGCCGGTCCAAAGGGGTCTGAGAAGACGGGAGAAGGAGTCACCCCGGTGTGTCCCGTCCCAGGCAGGGAAGGAACATAACCCTTCCCCAAGGAACTTTCTTCTGCATGGCTACCCCTGGGCGTCCCAATCCAGGGGGGCAGAGCCAAGCCGGAACCCACCCCCACCGCGGAGAGGGCGTGGGCAGCTGCCGGGGCAGACAGCTGGCATGGGGCACCACCGAGGTCCAGGAGGGTGGGGCGGCGCAGGGCGGGGCGGGGGGCTCTGGCTCCCCGGAATGGGATGGGTCCAGACAGGAGCTGGGGGCACCCAGAACTGCAGGCTGGGCACCCAGAGCTCAGGTCAGGGGTGCCTGCAAAAGTGCATTGTATGGGAGGGTCTCTTCCTTGCGGGCTGGACTGAGGGGCCCCAGGTGGTGGTGGGCCCAGCTGAGCGCCCTACTTTCGAACCCCCCAACCTTGGAGGCTCACGGAGCCTGCACTTGGGCCACCACCCAGCACCCAGGGGCGGTGGGCGCTCTGACTGGAGGAAGCCTGAGGACAAGGACAAGGACAAGGACATGCACTGCGTGGGCGACAGGCTGCAGCTCCTTCGCACCGGCTGCACACGCCCGTCTTTATATTTAGAGATGAGGCTGGCCAAGGCCAGTCCACCTTGGAGTCACCATCATCTGCAGAGCCAGAGCCCTGGAGCTTCTATTTATACAGCTTCCATGCCTTCAGACTACTGGGATCTGGGTCTGCCCTGGGAAGGTGGAGCGGGGGTCACGGGAGGTCAGGCGGGCACTGCCTACCTCACTCTCCCCCCCGCCCCCATTCCCACCCCCAGGACAAGGACAGTCCTAACCTTGCTGTGGCCGCCCAGGGAGAAGCGATCTTTGGCGATGAACTCAGCGGCGTGCTTTTGGGGGATACATCAGCGGCGGGGCGTGGGCCAGAACCCAATCGGTCATTTTTTTTCTCAAGTGCCTACAGCGCTCCCAAAATAGTCGCCATTACCATTGGGGAACGGAGCCGGCAACCGGGACAGGTGTGGGCTCTCCGGGGATATAAAACACCATGTGAGCGCGTTTCCTAAAAATGACCCAAGTCAATTAGAGAAGGAGGAGTTTGGTTGAGTGCAAAGGGTCATCCGTTAAAAAAGCTACTAAGGTTTCCTATTTAGCCTTAAGAAAACCATGTTTATTTATTTGGGTCCTATTTCTCTCTTCTTCTTCTTCTTCTTCTTCTTCTTCTTTTTTTTTTTTAATAGGAAAGCTCATTTCTTTTTAAAAAATATATTTTATTGATTTTTTACAGAGAGGGAGAAGGATGGAGAGCTAGAAACATCGATTAGAGAGAATCATCTATCAGCTGCCTCTTACACACCCCCCTACCGGGGATGTGCCCTTGACCAGAATTGAACCCAGGACCCTTCAGTCCACAGGCTGACGCTCTATCCACTGAGCCAAACCAGTTTTGGCAAAGCTTATTTCTTTTAAAATATATATATATATATATATATATATATATATATATATATATATATATATATATTTGCCGATTCCCTGACCAGGGATGGAACCCACAACCTTGGCGCCTCTTGGCGCCTCAGTTGGTTAGATGATGCTCTCACCAACTGAGCTACCAGGCCAGGGTTCCCATTTAGCCTTTCCAGTTATTTTGGAGGACGATGAATAATGGACAGACCCACATTTCATTTTTAATACGTGTCCTGCTTTGTCGTGGGGAGGGGAGACACTAGAGAAAAAAACAAGGGAGAGGGGATAGCTTCAATTTTGGTAGGAAGAAACGTGCTGTAATTCACTAAATACCTAATCACTGTTGACATTTTGAAGGGGAATGGAGTTGATATTTTCCCTCGTGGAGGGTGAGAAAATCTCACGATGACTGGTGGCCTCCAAAGGCTGTGGCACATAAGGACACACAGTGCATCGTGGGACTGAACTTTCATGGGGGGAAGGGAGGCAGAGGCCGTGTGACAGGAAACACCACCTACAAAGGGGAAGGAGTGATCATGAAAAAGAGGCGGAGAAACAGCGGGCCCTAGAATGATATGGCTTTGTGCCATGTTTCGCTGACGAGGTGCTGTAGGAACCCTGTGGTAAGACTGGTTTCGTTAACCATGGCTCCGCTGCAGACTGGAGAACCTACGGACAGCAGGGGGGGGCTACTGAGCTAGACAGGGGCCCACAGACACGCTCACGCTACCTCCCAGCAGCAGAAGGCCGCAGCAGAAGGCCATAGCACATGGCAAGCACCTAGAGGCATGTTTCCATGTGTCCTGGGAGTTACTTCCTGTGGAGCCACAGCGTCCGCTTCCTCCCAGTCTCTGTGACACTCACTTGGGCTCTGGTCTCTGTTAGTTCCTCCCCAGCTGGGTCGGGAGGTGACCAAAGCCCTGGCCAGCCCTTGACGTCCAGTCCACTTCTGGGACACCCCGAGCCACACACGTGTTTTATACCCTAAGACACTCCCATGGACACTCCCGTGCGTGCAATTTAAAGCTTCCCCAACGAGTCATCGGACACCACGCTCACACAGATGAGGCCCACTCTGCGTTGTCATTTCGTCTAACACTTTATTGACAGGCCAGCACCCCGTGAGCCCGCTTATTAACAGCCCAACAGGACAGACACCCACCCGAGGCTCCTCTGTGCGCAGCACCCGAGTCACAGCAACTTCAGGGACAGCCAGCCTGCCCGCCCGCTTTGGGGACCCGGGATGGGAGCACCGGCAGTGGGATCAGGACAAGAGCTCAGCGCCCTGGGCGGAGGGAGGAGGCAGCATGGGCAGCGGGCACCGAATACATTTCTGACGGAGAAAAGGTGGAGAGGAAATAATGTCACTAAAACCCAAGACAGTCGTCACAGCTGGTCCGTAGGCGCCTCCAAGTAAAGTCTAAGACGCGCTCACAGCGGGTCTGACATGGCAGGGGAGGCGCGGTGTGTAAGGCCCAGCGTTCTCCTCAGGAGCCGATGCTGATTCTCGGCGAGGATGCACGTGTCCCGAAGTCAGCCCTGTCCATGGACGTAGTATTCGTAATTTGCTTTCAAAACGAACGCGAAGTAGGGACTGGCCTTCAGGGCCCCGAGCTGCTCGGCTTGAAGTAGGTCATTTACGTCTGGCAGGTACTGGCTGAGCTGAATGCCTGCGACAAAACAGAGGCGATTTAAGATTAAAAAAAAAAAAAAAAAAAAAAAAAAAAAATATATATATATATATATATATATATTATTGATTTTTACAGAGAGGAAGGGAGAGGGATAGAGAGCTAGAAACGTCGATGAGAGAGAAACATGGACCAGCTGCCTCCTGCACACCCCCCACCGGGGATGTGCCCGCAACCAATGTACATGCCCCTGACCGGAATCGAACCTGGGACCCCTCAGTCCGCAGACTGACGCTCTACCACTGAGCCACACCGGTGAGGGCAGAGGCGGTTTTTATGGTCAGGAAACTCCCCCGGGAATCGCACACCTGTGCTTCTATTTAAGTTGTGCGGCGGGGGCTGCTGGGACAGGCCCTGCCTTCAGCTGCTCCATCTGTCCCACACGGGCAGGTCTCACCGGAGGGCACCCCCTGGTGGTCAGAGAGCCGTCTAGCTAGGTCTTCCATGGGACCTGACCTCTTCCCTTTCTCCACGGCTTCCGTCATCCCGCCAAGGTGCATGCTGGGTGGGTTTCCTTAAAGTAATCACCACCTGGACACAAGTACTTCACACGATTATATCTTCTCCGACTTGGGCGATAACATGCAAGAAATTCTTCCATGAAAGCTAGCTACCCTATCTCCAAATGTGTTCATGTTTAAATCTGAGATCATGCCCTAACTGGTGTGGCTCAGTGGATAGAGTGTCGGCCTGCAGACTGAAGGGTCCCAGGTGTCCCAGGTTCGATTCCCGTCTAGGGCATGTACAAGTATGTTGGTTGCGGGCACATCCCCAGCAGGGGGCGTGCAGGAGGCAGCTGATGGATGTAAAGTTTCTAAAATGAAGGAGCAACGCTTCATGTCTGATACTAACAAACCACTCACCATCTTTTAGAAGTTTCTGTAAGATTTTCACAAATATGCTGTCTTTCGATACTTCAATTGGATCATCTTTACCGTCTGAGCTGGACCAGCTGGAAAACAGAATCAGTACAAAGGGGGAAATGAAGTCACGGCGTCTGTGACATAAATAACATCCGACTGTGGTTGGTTTGGATTGTGGGGCGCAGGCAGAGCAAACCGTGAGTTTTGTGAGACTCTTTCAAATGATTGAAACCAGGGAGCTTTAAGTGCTGACAATACTGAGACTCTTTACATGAGGTATAAGGTGCCACACTTCGTTAGCCCTTCGCAAATACAACCATTACGTGTTTGGTGTGAAAACCAAGTAGTGAGGCATCGTTCCGGGGGTTTCGGTGCAGAAGGAATAAACCTGGGAGGGACCCTGAGTAGGACCTCTGAGAGTGCAGGCCAGTTACCTTCAGTTCTCATAAAAGTGAAAAGGTAACCAGTGCTGCTAGGTAAGCTTGCCTTTTCTAGTTGAGATTCTCCACTAGAAATTCCAACACACAGAGACACTGCTTGGGAATCAACAATCAATGGATTTATCCAACGTGATAAACAAAAAATATATTAGTACATAATACAATTAGGCCACAACATTATTTGATGGATGATATAATATCCCTCCCAACAGAGTACTTTTCCAAAAGCATATCTTAGATTCATGCCGTGAGAACTTACTTATCTCTCTGAAGAGCTTTGCAAAGGATTTCCAGTTTCAGATGGTCTATATCTATATCTTCCTCCTTCACAACACAACAAAAAAATCCTCATTAAGTCCTGATTTGAAAACTCTGCGTAATTATTGCTTTACTTTAATTCATAATTTAAAAAATTTTCCCTTCCTTTAAAACATTAACATTGCACAGGAAGTAAACCAATAATTTGTTTGACTTGGTTTTCTGATTATTCTAGGATAATCTGATCTTATCAGAAACAGTGAGAGGGTTAAGATTATATATATATATATATATATATATATATATATATATATGTATGTATGTATGTATTTTTAAATATATTTTTATTGATTTCAGGGAGGAAGGGAAAGGAAGAGAGAGAAAGAAACATCAGTGATGAGAATCATTGATCGGTTGCCTCCTGCACACCCCAAAATGGGAATCGAGCCCACAAGAAGGTTAAGAGTTTGAACACGGTAATGTACAAACCCAAGCATTGTTATTTATTCTTTTTCAAAAGTTTATTTTTCCTCTGTAAGTTAGACGTGTGGAGGTGACTTTGGTTAATAGGATAGTTAGGTCTCAGGCAGTGTTTGTCTCAGGCTGTGGTCTGTGCCCCACATCGTGTGCCCACCGCTCAAAGTCACATTTCCTGTCATGTATTGGACCCCCTTTCCTCATGGTAACCACCAAACTGCTGTGTTTAGGACATTGTTTGTTTTGTGTTTACATTTGTTGCTTTCAGTTTTATGCCCCACGTTTGAGTGAAATTCCATGGCTCTGTCTTCTCCTGACTTATTTCGCTTAGCAGGATAGCCTCAAGATCTGCTATGTTTCCCAAGTCTCCTAAGCTATTCTCAAGTGCAAGGCCAACGACCTAGCCCACAGAACGTTCCTTGTAACCTTTTTTGTCTCAGAGGCTGAGAACAGGGTGAATACCATCAAGAATAAATAAAGCAACGTAAATCGAAGAACTAATCACGACTTAATAAATGAAAGAGAAAAAAATGCCTTCGGACTCTGAACCTGTACACAGAAAAAAGACACCTGGGAGAGCCATCGGGAAATGAAACCTCTCTCTTTTCATACCCCCGAGCGAGGGGAGCTGAGTCAGGCTCCCCCACGTTCTCATGACTGGCTGAAGAGGTGGTGTGTTTTTAATGTATTCAGTTCCACAGAAAACTCCGTATGAACCTCATACTGTCTGTGATCTCTCGCGTGATCTTACCCACCTCATCGATATACTCCAGCAGGTCCAGAGCCTTCTTGAAATCGTACTCATTAGCTCTTCTGTTCTCCTCACAGACGTAGAGCTACGGCAAGGTAGACGGAGGACTGGGTTAAGTAAAGACATAAACGAAACTACAGGCATTTTTTGAAGTCATTGTCTTGCAGGTAAGTTATAGGTTATTTTTATAACAAAGAACAGTGCCACATTTGTAACTTATACTCCATCTCGCTCTCAAAATACCCATTTGCTCCATCGGTAATTAATTTGAGTAACCTCAACATACAGCAACATGTTACCAACACAGAGGTTGTGTGAGGGCGATTATAAGAACTATGCTGCTGAGAATTGCCATCATGTTTTGTTTTTTCACTTCTTCCTTTTTAAACATCATCAGAGCAAGTTCAAGGCAATCCTAGGACATCATTCTTGCACTGGAAATGCTGTCCTGAAGTTGCAGCCACCAGCACACATAGCACCAGAACTGCCTTCCCCTGGCTGCGGCCGAATCTAGCGATACTCAGGAAGGGTCATGAGGCAGAGCAAAGCGAGGGGATGGCAGCTCCGGGCTATTACATCCGGGCCCTTCACTACTCTTCTTAGAGAAGAGCTGAAATGTATCTCCTGGCACCGATTTGCTGGAATGGAAAAGGTCACACAGGAAGTGGGCTGGTCATCAGCATCTCCAGGAACTGGGGGGGGTGGTGGTGGTGGTGGTGGTGGTGGTGGTGGGGCACAGGGAGGCGAGGCTGGTCCATGGCTCTGCTCCGGGGCTTCCTGCTCCCAAGCAGCTCCTACCAACCATTCCAGGGGCAGTCCCCCGGAAACAGGAAGTGGGAGATGGCTGCTCTTAGAAACCGCGCTGAACGAGACACTGAGGTTTGGAGCTGAGAAGAGGCGTGGGGCCGGAGGAGCACGTACGCGGATGAGCTGCGGCGCGGTCAGCACGGGCATGGCGCTGAGGCTCAGCTCCTTCTCCGCCAGCAGCGGCTCGGGCAGCGTCTCCTGGTGCAGCAGGAAGCGCTCCTGCTCGGCCATGTCTAGAATGCAAACGAGACGGCGAGGGGGGGGGTGTGTGTGTCAGCTCTCACTCTGCTCCTCTAAAGCAGGTCTGATTTCAGAAGGAAAAGGGCTCTCTCTAAAGATCGTCTCTTCCCCGTTCAGCCATCTTAGAGCGATTCCAATTCTGCTCATCCTGATTATGTCAGAACGTAGTCATGGTTTGATCTAAGGACACTGAACAAACATTCTCCTAAAGGAAACACGGTCCTAGTTCTCAGGAGGCCCATTGAGTGAGTAGATGAGGGATCTGTATGTCTTCTTTTAAAATTCTTTTTACCTTCAATTTTTTCTTGCAGTAAATCTTCTGAAAAATCTGAAGCTAATGCAGCCAATTTACTCAAGCCGAGAAGGGTTTTTTTCTTTGCAAAGTAACGCGTTTCCATGTTTGCCAGACCCAGAAGTGTTACATGAGCCTACAAACAACAACGTATGAGAACCGTGGTCAGACCCTGGTTACTGATTTAAATTGAAATAAACATTAAGTACAACTCTAACTGCCCCCCACCAAGCTACGTCAATGAAAAATCAAGTCAATATTAGCAAACCTGAAAACTGATGTGTACCATATATATGAAAAAGGAATTTTTCAATAGAATCAACCACCCACACTATTGGGAAGAGAAACACATAAAATGCATTTGCTCTATAACAATTATATAGTCACTCCAACATCTTTGTCAGGAATTTAAAAAATTAATTGTTTACCATTTTGACTCATAATTTAAACATTTTTATTATACACGTTTTATCAAAATTTTACTGTAATAGTCAAATCACAATGGACTGTATTTTTGATTGAGATTAAGAAGTAATGGTAACATTATCATAGATCAAAAGAATTCAAATTATGTGAGAGAAAAAGAGATACACATTTTAAATGATTTATAAGTAGGATTTGAATTAAAAAAAATTACAATAAAATTAACTAAAGTTACCGAAATCTGCTCCATATAACTGAATCCGTCTTACCTTTTCTAATTCTTGGCTATTAATTTCGTGTAACCAGCTGAGATGCTCATGAGCTTGCAAGAAATCTGCCAACTGTCCGTGCTGAGCAATGGGCTGAGACAGTAACTTGCCCCTTTTTCCTTTCTCCAGATACCACCGGAAGAGGAAATCTGAAAAATTCTTTAAATACAAAGCCAGGGATCCAGTCTTGGTTAGTAACACAGTTTTAAAACATCTGTTTGATAATAACATATTAAATTTCTCCCCAAGGTCTGAGACCCCAGAAGAGAAATCTTATTTTAAACATTAATTTCCTGTGTAATAGATCCTCAAAAAGAACCTAACTGAATCACCACATTGGACAAATGAGGACGTTCAGACTCGAAAAAAAAATCTTCTTGCTCAAAATGAGACAGAATCTAGATGTACACTGTCCAACAGGGCAGTCCTGGTCATATGTAGCTGTTTAAACACATTAAAACTTAAAACCACATGGGCCACATTTTAATAATTTAAAAAAAAAATACTTATTTTATTGATTTTTTTACAGAGAGGAAGAGAGAGGGATAGAGAGTTAGAAACATCAATGAGAGAGAATCATCGATCAGCTGCCTCTTGCATACCCCCTACTGGGGACGTGCCCGCAACCAAGGTATATGCCCTTGACCGGAATCGAACCTGGGACCCTTGAGTCCGCAGGCCGACGCTCTATCCACTGAGCCAAACCGGTTTCGGCACACACGGGCCACATTTTAAGCGCTCGACGGAAACGTGATACATAAATTGGGATCTAAGTTAAACACAAAAAGATTGTGTCATCTTCCAAAAGCCCCAGGTGAGACAGGAAATGGTAAGAACCTAACACAGCAGGTGCGGCCCAGTCCCGGCGTGTTACCTGGTCGGCAAACTGGGTCATGTAGCGCTGGAGCCTGGTCTGGTTGTCCGTCTGCTCACACATTTGCACCAAGATATCAAAGTCACAGTATTTCTCTGCTAACGAAGCAGCCCAGGAGTACTGGCCCAGAGTGACTGGAAATGAGACCAGATGGAAACAAATTTTGCTAGTGAAAACTTTAAGATGTAAGAAAAAAAAATATTACTTGCAATTTTACCCTTATCCATTTTACATCCTAAAAATAATTAATGGGATAGAAACCTTTCCCGTTACTGACATTTGGATTCAGAATCCACAGAAAATCATGGAAGAGCCCAGCCAGGGTGGCTCAGTGGTTGAGTGTAGACCTAAGAACCAGGAGGTCACAGTTCAATTCTGGTCAAGGGCACATGTCCAGATTGTGGGCTCAATCCCCAGTAGGGGACGTGTAGGCAGCCAATCAATGATTCTCTCTGGTCAGTGCTGTTTCTATCTCTCTCTTCCCCTCCCTTCCTCTCTGAAATCAGTAAAAATATATTTAAAAAAATAAATAAGTAACATAAAATCAGTAAAGATGCAAATTCAGCCCCTGGCTTCATCAATGGATGCTATTCCCTTCCTGCCTGTGTGAGTGTAATAGCGGCCCCTCCCATCTTCATGGAAACAAAGCTGTGTAAAGGAACGCACAGGCTGCCCCTTTCCCACAGTCGGGCTGATGCTGTGACACCGACTACACCGCACATGATGGGACGCCTTCGCCTGCTCTGCCAATTCCAAGGCCCCCAGTCGAGCTCACGACCAGGCACTTACGCAGCGGAGACAAGAGCTCCGACCTCTTCTGCACGTATTCGGTCTCCAGGTTGTTATATCTTTCCTGATCCCTGGATCTGTCCAGAGACTTCAGCTGACAGGTATAGCCATCCAGGAAGCAGTCGATCAGTGCGACCAGCTGCTCCGTGAGAATGTTCCGGAGGTTGCTGTCCGCCTGCGGGTAAACCATTTTCAGGACGATCCCGTGCTGGCGCATTATTGCTGTTCGCACACCAGCGGGGCCACTTGTTGCTGTGAAATCACACGAAAGAAGATGGTAAGTGAGGGTTCGTGACGCCTCGGGGAAAGACCACCGGCCTGACAATCCTAGCACCTCACACTGCTGGGCAAATACCAAACAGGAGCTCAGCACCCCTCTCTGCGGGCTCAAAGCCCATCTTCTCTACAGAGCCTTCCTCAGCGAAGCCTGGTCAACATGGCCCTTCCTCCCTCCCTCCCTCCCTTCCAAATTCCTTCCATTCTACTCCACTTACTGTCTTCTATTAAATCAACATAAAATAGGTCAGTACCTCCAGGCCAGGGCCTGCTTCTATGAATAACTACACACATTAAAACCTAGTAGAGGCTACTCTGCATTTCACTTACAAACCTGCCCGAGAGGAACTATACAGCTTCCACAAGCGATGGCTCATTAGAATATATGTGTGTGCGTGTGTGTGTGTGTGTGTGTGTGTGTGTATATATATATATATATTTTTTTTTTCTTTTTTTTTTTTTTTTCTTCCCATTAGAATATATCTTGAGGAGCTGCTAGCAGACCAGTGTACTCGGGCTCGGTGCTCACCAGCTCACCTGTCCACGGAATATATTCCGGCTCTTTTTCCAGGGGCTCTTCCCTCCTGTACAAGGAGTTTCTGTTTTGCCGATAATGGCTAGCAGCTTGCAGCATGTCCTGGAGGAAAATGAAGCGCGTTAGCAGGTGCAGAAAGCCGTGAGGCCCAGTATGTCCCAAGGGAATTGTTAGGTCTGGAGGATAACTTGTTCTTTTTGCATTTGAAGTCTAACTCCATAATTTAACTCCGAGTTTTGAAAAGTACAGTAACCAAAGTAAAAAAAAACCCCATTATTATAAAGTACATGGGCTAAAATTAAATGGAAGTTTTAATAAGCAGTGAGCTTTTGAGTAATTAAAAAATACTTATTTAGTTACATGAATATTAATACTTGCAATGTTATATATATCCTTCTCCAAAGAGAGGTTTATTCCACTAAATAGAACCTGGGATCCCAGAAATTTAACATGTACATGCAAATATTCAAAACGGCCATTGACTGATGGATGAAGAACAGAGAAACCACCCTCTCCCCTATCCACATCCGGGCTTTGAGTTGCTGAAAACGTCACCCTATTTTGGTACCTTGAGAATATTGTTCACGCTGATCACCACCTCAGCCCATTCGACGGATTCCAAAGACGTCTCCTTTAAGACTTGCTCCTCATGTTCCAGCAGACACTCACAGATGGTGTCTACCTGCGACACCTGAGCGAGGAGAGAGATGTCAGCCACAAAGTTCCAATCTCCCAACTTTGCAGAATGAGAATGCCCACATAATTCAGTCTCACGGGTATTGAATTCTGGGCTGTCAGCGGGCAGATTTCTAAACTTAGATACCAAGTACAGGCAGCCCTCCAGAGCTATAGGTTCTGCATCTGTGAGATTCAAAATATTTGGGGGGAAATGTGACATTGTCACTGACATGCCCTCTGTATTAGGCCCACCATGGCTGCATTTGTATGAAGCATGTACAGACTTTGCTTTTGTTGTTGTTAAAACTGGAATAACCAGTGGGGGGTGTGCAGGAGGCAGCCGATCAATGATTCTCTGTCATCACTGATGTTTCTCTCTCTCCCTCCCTCTCTCCGTTCCTCTCTGAAATCAATAAAAATATTCTTTAAAAAGTGGCTTAAAACATTCAGCAAGGGCAGGGAGGGCTTCTTAGTTCTGGGAGCACCCAAGTCAGTGGGACTTTTTAAACGATTTGCCCAGAAAGCAGGAAGTCCAACTTAAATTCCAACGTGCTCTCTGCCCTCCACCTTTCCCCTGCGTGGGCCTGTGTAAGAGGAGCCCGCCTCACCTCCCTGAAGAAGATGTCCGCGGGGGTCAGGCTGGCCGGGACGGCGCAGTCCCGCCTGTGCAGAGCCATCAGGATGGCCGTGTTCACCAGCTCCGGCAGCCGCGAGTGGTGGTTCTTGAGGACGATGGCGGCCGACAGCTTCTCCGCGTGCTCACAGAGCAGCCGCCACGTTGCCATGGGTGCCCCCCTCACCGGGGACGTGCGCAGGCGCCCGAACAGGCCGACCTTGCAGAGACACACACAGGTTCTTGGAAAGCATTTACAGGCACGCACATAATGCAGTCACACCCCCACCCAAGCACGTTGGGTGCAGAGCCACTGCCCTAGTGCTCCCCACAAAGCACCGCCAGCTGCCTCTCCTTCTGGCTGCTTCCAGCACCCACGCATGCATGCACACGCACGCCACACACACACACACACACACACACACACACTCACGCACAGCTTAGCCAGGGCTGCTAACACCTGTAAGAAATATAGACGTTCCAGTTCTAAGCTTAGGGTTACTCTTGAGTTTCTCTACTGTTGTCTGTTGACATCTTATTTCTCAAATTGTCTCTAGATATCTTATTTCTCGAATTATTGCTGCTGGTTATCAAAATGACAAAGTCGTTCTTTCCTATCGGCACCCATGAGCTCCCTGAGAGTCCAGACCAGCTGAATCCTGGAACCCTAAAGCCAGTGAGTGTGTGTGTGTGTGTGTGTGTGTGTGTGTGTGTATGTGTGCGTGTGCGTGCGTGCGTGCGTGCGTGCGTGTGTGTGTGTGTGTGTAAAAGCCACCGGAACACCTGCCCCGCTGCCCTGGGGGAGCCGACCCCGGGCGCTCACCTGGTGAATGAAGTCCACGAGGAAAGAGTGTGCCTTCATCTTGTCCTCCAGCTGGTGAAGGATGATCAGCGAGCTGTTGCTGAACCCGGGAGCTTCTGTGGGAACATGGCAACGACACTTAAAACACGTAACGTACCGGCTTTATCGTCATCACTGAGATGAGAGTAAAAAGTTAAGAGACATCCCTACCAAAGGAAAAGACCAATTTTTCCATGCAATTTTTTGTAACATTATCCAAGAGTTTAGGAAACTCAGGGAAACACTGTGGGAGTGTGCTACAATTCATATCGTGTTTAAAACGTAAGAGAGAGCATAACCAATGGACACGGACATTGGGGTGGTGGGGGCTTGTCCTGGGGGGGGGGGTTACAGGGAGGGGCCGATGGGGGAACAAAGTAGACTTGCTTCATCGTCCCCTCAGTTTCTGTTCTATCATGTGGATCTGTTTGAAGTCCTTCTCACAATCTACTATCAGGAAAGCCACAACCTTTTAAAAAATACTGAGTTAATGTTAAACTGTCTCATAAACCAGATTCTTTGAGAGACACTTACACAAAAGAGCCAGGATGCCCATCTCAGAACAGAGCATCCCATATACCAGCCCCGGGTGTGCCTACCTTCGGGGACAGACTCTGCCCAGCGCGGGTCCGAGGCGGGATAGTCGTCCACCAGGTCCACGCTGATCTGGGCCACCGCCTTGTCCAGCTCGCTGTCCGAGTCCAGATCGGAGGAAAACAGCTCGTCGACCATCATCTGAGCGTGACCCAGGTCTTTTCTGAAACAGAACCGGGGAACAGAAGCTTGAAAGGAGGCAGAGCGTGCTCAATACCCACCGTGAGAGAGTAAAGGTGAACTTAAAGTCCCATCTTCTAGGCCAAAATTAATTACTTTTAGTAACGTTTAGTGAGATGCATTCATGAATTCAACAAATTCACACGGAGTGCTTAGAATATGCTGGGCACTGGAGACAGAATGACAGGACACTGAACAGCCCACGGTTTGTCATGAGGGATGAGCCGATGAAACAGGAAGTTACGCAGACACAATGGCTGGGAAGGAACAGGGGAACCAACACCATCGGAGGGGCCGGGGAAACCTCCCGGGAGAAGAGGTGGCGGCCGCTGAGGGGGAGTGCAGGGAGGCCGGGAGTGCGGGATGGCACAGGGCAGAGAGAGCAGGTGCCCGAGGGAAGAATGCCTGCAGCCAGGAGAGAACTGACGCCACCGAGGGAGCTGAGATGAGCCAGGGAGGAAAGTGCCCCGGGCAGACCTTCTAGAAACACCTCCAATCAAAGGTCGGGTGAGCCCAGCCTGCGAGGCTCAGTGGTTGAGCGCCGACCTATGAACCAGGAGGTCATGGTTCAATTCCCAGTCAGGGCACATGCCCAGGTTGTGGGCTCCGTCCCCAATGGGGGGTGTGCAGGAGGCAGCCGATCCATGATTCTCTCTCATCGTGGATGTTTCTTGCTCCTTCTCTCTCTCTCCCTTCCTCTCTAAAATCAATAAAAATGGGTTTAAAGAAAAACAAAAAGGATAAAAACAACCTTCTACTTGCCTAACATTATAAAAAAAGATGCCCGCAAGCTGTCTTTATGGTCACTGTTTCCGAAGGTGCCCTGCTTTTCCTGAAGGGGACAGGGTGTTGCATCATCTTCCCCCCAGCAGAGCTGGGACCCTCCCATGATGACCAAGTTCAGAAGAACAGTTGCGAAAGGGTCAAGTTCAGAAAAACACTTTCTTAACAGCTCATTCTTCTAATCCGCTGGGTCATCAAATAAGGAGCATGTCAGCAACTGTGTCCTCAGACTTAAAGAAGCCATCATTTAAAAACCGGTTATACCTGCAGTACTGCAGAAAAGCGGCTTTCAGCAATCTGGTTTTATCCTCCTGGGCTATGGTTTCGTTCTTTGTAGAGATCTCTAAAACCATACTCTGTAAAATAACAATAATTTAGAAATTAAGGTATCCGATTATTTTAATGTATTTTTATTGATATCAGAGAGGAAGAGAGAGAGAAACATTTGTGGAAACAGCCTGATAAAAATGTAAAAACGGCACAGAACACATACCTCATTGCTCGGCCCAGCGACGGAAGAAGCTAGAGATTCTTCCAGGTCTTCCGCTAACATGGACACGTTTTCCCTGGGAGTAACAGCCACCAGCCCACTGTTTCTAGAAAACAGGATCGGGACACCACCACAGGAACCGGCTCCCAAAATACTGTCCCCTTGGAAGACGGCAAAACACACAATCAATTATACGGACACATGCTTCCTAACCCCCCCTCCCCGCCTCAGCAGAAAATCAGCTGACGCACGCACAGAGACACGTCCTTGGTGTGAACCCAGTTCTTTGTCCCAAGTCCAAGGTCAAGAACCTGCTGTATCTGAAGTAGCAGCCTGTGCCCTCAGCCTCAGGACAATCAACGCTAGTCTCAATAGCAGGCAGTAAGCAAAAGAGTAAAATGACTCGTTTTGCAAAGTTCAAAATACCATGCCGGGACCGGTTTGGCTCAATGGATAGAGCGTCGGCTTGGGAACTGAAAGGTCCCGGGTTCGATTCCGGTCAAGGGCATGTACCTTGGTTGCGGGCATATCCCCAGTAGGGGGTGTGCAAGAGGCAGCTGATCGATGACTCTCTCTCATCGATGTTTCTAACCCTCTATCTCTCTCCCTTCCTCTCTGTACAAAATCAATAAAATATGTTAAAAAAAAAAAAGAAAAAAAGAAAAAAAAAAAGTTCAAAATACCAGCTTTTGTAACCTGATGGGGTCCTTTTGTTCTCTTCTGCCATGGCTCACCGAGTAAGCCAGTTGGGGGCGGGCGGTGGAGTGGCAGGTCTAAGCCTGCTCAGGCCCTTACTTAATGCCTCCTACCCATCAGTCAGGTCTCATGCTGGGACCAGAAAATCCGAGGTTTCATCCTGTTGCCTCACCTGGATTCTGCCCTCTGCCCCTGCCCAATCCCTTTAGATAAATATCCTGACTTAATCATCTGCTTGGCTTTCTTTCACTCCCGATGGCTTAACCCCGCCCCCTCCCCATGAGTCCAACACCTGAGGGTCTTCTTATCCAGGGGTCTGGATACACTTAAAGAACAACTCAGAGTGCTAACTGGTTTGGCTCAGTGGATAGAGCGTCGGCCCGCAGACTAAAGGGCCCCAGGTTCGATTCCGGTCAGGGGCATGAACCTTGGTTGCAGGCACACACCCAGTGGGGAGTGTGCAGGAGGCAGCTGATGGATGTTTCTCTCTCACTGATGTTTCTAACTTTCTATCCCTCTCCCTTCCTCTCTGTAAAAAAAAAAAATCAACAAAATATATTTAAAAAGAACAACTCAGAATGAGTCACTCTTACTAACTAGGGATAAGCAATTCTTATGTCAGTCCTTCCCTTCTTGGCATTTTCTGGAGAAAGTGTTGCTATTTTGCCTATACATGTGACAGCCTGGGAATTCTACGCCCCTTCTGGTTTTTCAGTTCTGCTGTGACTTCAGCTATCATGGGTGTGGCGCTGAAGGTCTGAGCAGCACCGGAGGTACGAGCTTGAAGAAACACTCATGGGAGAGGAACAGAGACGACAAGAAGGACGAGCGAGCTCACTGCCTTGCTCTCCCGCTGCTCCGTACCTTGTGTGTTGAAGACAATCTTCTCCTTCGGAGGAGAGAACTTGCCGGTGCCGGTGGAGCACACGAAGACGGCGCTGTCGCTGTACAGGTAGGCAGTCTGGCTGGAGAAGTCCGGGACCATCAGCCGACACATAGCCGACGCTTCAGACTGAAAATCAAATCCGAAATTCCATCTCATGAGGACCGACACACAAAGGCTTGTCTGTACAACTTCATCCTTCCCACTCGGGTCCCACATATTACGGTTTATTGAAATAAGAGAACAAGTTGGAATTTCTTACAGTCTTCAGCTTAACAAACCATATTAAAATAAGCACAAGGGTTTAGCAGGCTTAGTACTATACAAGGCTAAATGAAATGAACTTACAGTTAAGGCTGTCCCTCATGAACTCACAGTTATTCAACAATATGTCCAATAGCTGTTAAGAAGCTTAACATTGAAGATCCTTTTAATTGATTACATGAACTTTTAGTGCACAATGCCTACAAATATAACCCTACTTGGAGTGAAAGGGAATTTTTCTGTGATATTAGGACTCAAAGCCAAACCCCAATGTCTACCTGGTTTGTTCCTTATTTTTCAATGATTAGTTCATCAGTCTTTTCTTTCTACTCAACAAGAGAGAAATGAGCTTCCTTCACAGAGTAGGTGAGAAGCAGCCAACGGCTGTTGCCAGCGGCTTTGACAGCATTTCTCTTCAGCTAAGGCTGAGCAACAAGTCTGAGATGGCAAGTAAAATGCAACGTCTAAAACGTAGCTGTTTTCAAATACGGCCGCCAAAATAAATAAAACAAATATACCCAAGCCCTGCAGATGCATCTCTCAAAGAACTTGACCCCGGAATGGTTAGGGGAAGAAAACCGAGCGTGTGAGCATCACTCTGGGATTGAACTTAGGTAAGGTCTTACCTGAAAGGGTGGATTGTACTGAGTGACTTCTACTGTGACCGCATCTGACATCTGGTAGCCGTTATCTTCCACCGTCACCAGCGAGTAATAGACGAGGCATGGGCTGTCTGAGGGGTGCCAGGCGGCTGCCAGCACCACCAGCCCGTCACTGGTCAGGGCGAAAGGGAAAGCGACAAGTCACGTGGGCAGGCCGCCTGGCAGTTTCTCACGAGGTTAAACACGCACGTTCCATGCAGCCTCGCAAGCCCCCTCCCATTTCACCCCAGAGAAGTCACACTGGTCGCTCACATGGCAAGCAAGATCAGCATTAGAGACCTAGCAAGACAGCTAAACATTTTATCACACACATCAACTTCCTCTCCAGACAGCGACCGAGAGTCTTTATGACAAAGCAACCACTCACCAATTTTGCTTCAAATCCAAATACCGAACGCTGACCCCCTCTTTAATAGCTTCGTAGTTGCTTTCCGATCCCTAGATGAAGACATCAACAAGGTAAGCTCCGTGCGTACAGGAATCACCTTCACCTCTGCACCCAGCACCGGCTAACGTGCCTCAGCCACAGCGGCTCAGCTGCTGAGTGATCATGCCTTTTATTTTTATTTTTTTAAAATATATTTTATTGATTTTGTACAGAGAGGAAGGGAGAGAGATAGTTAGAAACATTGATGAGAGAGAGTCATCAATCAGCTGCCTCTTGCACACCCCCTACTGGGGATATGCCCGCAACCAAGGTACATGCCCCCGATCGGAATCGAACCCGGGACCCTTCAGTCCCCAAGCTGACGCTCTATCCATTGAGCCAAACCGGTCTCGGCTGATCATGCCTTTTAAATGTTATTAAGCCAATCGGTGAGCTACAATATCTCTAGAGATTGAATGCTTGATTTGTTTATCTGGAGGCTAAAGACTGTGTTTGTATATTACCTTAATATACATGCTTCCGGATAAAACACTGAAGGAGCAAGCACACTCAGGCCCCCGCAAATGTGAACGCTAGGCGCGGACCGCTGCTGCTTACCCAAATGGCATCGGTGATGTTCTCCTTCAGGGTCCTGTTCACGTCCCAGCTGTGCACCTGCTTCTCTGACGAGTCATCCAGCTCCCACTTACTGATGCTTGCACTGGTCAGACTGTACAAGCTTGACCTCTCGCTGTCCCACAGCACGCTGGAGAGCTGCATGGAGAGGAGAACAAAGCCAAGTTCACGGACTCCGCTCTCATCATTGATGTTTCTCTCTCCCTCCCTCCCTCTCTTTCTTCTCTGAAATGGATAAACATATATATATATTTTTTTTAAAACAAACTTATAAAAACAATTATTTTATCAACTTACCACGAGATCGCTGCTCGGGGATAAAATCCCCAGAAGAGAAGAGACCTTCCGCCCGATGCCTGAGAGCACGCCTTGGCCTTGGGGCAGGGCCCGCTGATGAACCTTTCCCAGGTTCTCCGGCGTCAGGCGAACCAGCTGGCTTCCCGAGGAGGCCAAAACAAAGCTTCCTCCCTGGGAACAAATAGTGTGAAATTAATTCAGTGAAGCAGCTAACACCCGGATAAAGACAGTTAACACAGAATGCTTCAATACAAGGGAAAACCGTCTATCCCTTAACAAGAAATCTCAGAGCATACAAAGAAACACTGCTGGTAAAATAACTTACATATGAATCCATTCACTTAAGACTATTCACTCTACATAGGGAAACTTTTGCTGCTGTTTTGTTTTTTAAACTGCCTATTTCTTTCTGGTTTTTAAATTACAGGTTCACCACATTGCAGGTTAAACAAATCGAGAGTCAGATTTGATTACTTTGGTAAACCTGCAGAGTATTACAGTAGCAAACCATTCTGCATAGTGTCCGAGTTTTTACGTCACTCGTGTAAAATGTTCCTGAAAGAAATAAACACATTTCAGAGCCCTATGAGAAGTCCTTTCTCTCTCTAACTGTTCGAATCATAGACTCTTTTTTTTTTTTATTAAGTATATTTTATTGACTTTGTACAGAGAGGAAGGGAGAGAGATAGAGTTAGAAACATCGATGATAGTCATCGATCAGCTGCCTCTTGCACACCCCCTACTGGGGATATGCCCGAAACCAAGGTTCATGCCCTTGACAGGAATCGAACCTGGGACCTTTCAGTCCCCAAGCCGACGCTCTATCCATTGAGCCAAACCGGTTTCGGCCGAATCATAGACTTTTGCATCCTTTTCCTCTCTCTTTTATCGCTCCCTGGCCTGCATGGTCTGTTAAAAACCCTGAATTATTTAGTCATTCAAACCCCACTTCTTAGCCATGTGACAGCTTTCCAGTACAGAAAAGAATATCCACTGCGTACTATACCTGCACCGCTGTTAGGAAATTGTAAGTCTTATCACCTCCCGAGTCTACGTAAGTCTCCGTGTAGGCATCTTCATGAGCAAGGCTTGGCCAATAGCGAACGGAGCCCTCTCTGGTGGCCGCCATGACAGCGACAGACTGAAAACAAGATCAGCACACTCAGCAACCACGCTAAAGGGAGGACGCAGGAACTGGGAGTCTGATGATACTGACGTTAAAACACCAGGGCAATTTACTATCTGATCAGGAAAAAAATCAGAAAAACTCCTTTGGATACTTAAAAAAAAATTAAGTAAATAAATACAATGTCAAATTAAGGCAGAGGTGGTTAGGGGTGATCAGGCTGGCAGGGGAGTGGTTAGGGGGTGATCAGGCTGGCAGGCAGGTGAGCAGCTGGGAACCAGCAGTCCCAGATTGTGAGAGGGATGTCTGAATGCCGGTTTAGGCCTGATCCCACAGGGCAGTCAGACATCCCCTGAGGGGTCCCAGATTAGAAAGGGTGCAGGCTGGCCTGAGGGGACCACCCCCCACCCTGGTGCACGAATTTCGTGCACTGGGCCTCTCGTATTTCAATAAGCACTTAAATCACCTACCTGAGTAGAATGCACTTCACCCGAGGGAGCCGAGTAAGAGAGAGCCACCAGGTCAGCGCTCTGCTGGCAATCACTGGGTGGCAGCTGGAGCTCTTTGCAAACAGACAGCTGTAGAGCAAAGCCAAACCAAAGACCTTTCGCATCACGTCCACTTTTTTGAATATGCACCTGACGTCACCATTTTCTTTCTCTGTCTATTTTACATTCTATTTCACTGCTGCAAACAGCACTCTACAAATATTCTTTCTTTTCAAAATTTTCTACCAGGGTTTCAGTAGTTTTAAAACAGTTTCGTAAGAGATATAAAATCAGGAAAACTTAAGAACTAGACCGCACTCTGAATATCAACCAACCCAATCTCTTCCCGGACTGAAAGGAATATACTACTTCAGAGAGGAGTACGTGCTCAGTATTTCGGATCGCTATGCACGTGCAAACCCACTCATGCTTGAATACATTCAGACTGTCCTCCCCACAACTCTACAAATTTAGGGTAAAAACTAAGGGCCAATGGGTTCCCTCTCCTCTATCTCCTTTCATCTCCCCAAAGAGCCATTACCTTAGAAATGGGCGACAGAGCAATCTTCCAGACAATGAGCTTGTCTTTGCAGACCAGACAAGCCCATCCACCTTCATCTATGCGAACGGTCAGCAGGTCATCATCTGAACAAAAATACGAGGGGAGAGAAAATGAGGTACATTTGTGCCTTAGTGTCTGAAAAAGAGCAGCAGTTCACATTTCCTTACACCAAAGTCTTCACTGCCATATTCTTTTTTTTTTTTTTTTTTAATATATTTTGATTTTTTTACAGAGAGGAAGGGAGAGGGAGAGAGTTAGAAACATCGATGAGAGAGAAACACCAATCAGCTGCTTCCTGCACACCCCCTACTGGGTACATGCCCTTGACTGGAATCGAACCTGGGACCCTTCAGTCGCTTTATCCACTGAGCCAAATTGGTTAGGGCACTGCCACATTCTTCACCACAAAAATTACCATTCATGAAAAAGATTAATCTACAACAAAAAATGCTCTTGTATATCATTCAGGAGTTATCAATGTCCAAAACTAGAGATCCATTTCACTCTGATAATCAGTTTTAAAAGAAATATACCTGGATACAAAAAGTATATATTGGAGCTAGGTTTAATCTCTCTTAATTTTTGTTATAAACAGATATCCCACTTTCTGTAATACTATCATAGTCAAGATGTGCAAGTTCATGTTGATGAGAAATATTCCATCTTCTAGAACGGAGTATCTGTCAATCACAGTATGAATATATTTTGCATCATGATGCATTTGTAAACAATGTAAATAAAACAAAACGTAACATTATATGAGATGCACTCTGATATTCTAGATTCTTTTATTTCATTTTTAAAAAAATGCTAAACTGGCCGAGACCGGTTTGGCTCAATGGATGGAGCGTCGGCTTGGGGACTGAAGGGTCCCAGGTTCGATTCCGGTCAGGGGCATGTACCTTGGTTGCGGGCATATCCCTGGTAGGGGGTGTGCAAGAGGCAGCTGATTGATGACTCTCTCTCATCGATGTTTCTAGCTCTCTATCTCTCTCCCTTCCTCTCTGTACAAATTCAATAAAACATATTTTAAAAAAAAAAATGCTAAACTGATCTCAATCACCATCTACAGCTTGAAAAACAATATTCCAGAAAAATCACAAAGATCTAGAATTAAATTCTTTTATAAAAAAAATATTTTTAGTGATTTCAAAGAGGGAGTGGTAGAGAGAGATAGAGATATCAATGATGAGAGAGAATCATTGATCAGCTGCCTCCTGCACATCCTACACTAGAGATCAAATCCGCAACCTGGGCCTGTGCCCTGACTGGGAATCGAACCATGACCTCTTGGTTCATAGGTTGATGCTCGACTAGTGAGCTACACCAGCGGGGCCTCAATTAACTTTTGAAATTGGACTTGAGTTTTGCATTTGCAGTACTTACAACCATTAAAGATTTGACTGTGCTGGCATGAAATCCTGCTTCTGAAATTTATTATATTTCTCAATCACAGTGAAAAAGCAAACAGGTTGTCCCTGTCTGTGCATTTCGGTGGAAGGGCTATCAGAGAAGGCACCCATTTCAAGCTCCAGGCTAGAGCGAGGCTTCGTGTGAATTGCAGTGAGAGGCGAAAGGAAGATAACACTCACCTTCAGCCAATGTCAGGACTTCCATGACCTTGACGGGGAGAGACGATCCAAACGTCTTCACGTCGTAGTTCATGGTCTCGGTTATGGAGTGATGTGGGAACATTCGTGTGGGTGTTCCTCTAAAGAAGAGAGGCCTCATTACGTCACCATAACTTACATTCTCCACCAGCCTAATGTTTACGCATCTATTTCCACAATAAAGGGAAGAGCTTTGATAAACAAATGTGAAGTGGAACAGTGAAAAAAAAAACTCTGGCTCATGTATTCGTAATTAAATGTATTTTTCATCAAAGATGGATGGGGTTTAGGAGACCCTGGCCTTACACTTTTATACTCTGGTTTCTGGGTGCATGTGCCATTCACCTAAACCAGTGGTTGGCAAATTGCGGCTCGCGAGCCACATGCGGCTCTTTGACCCCTTGAGTTTTTAACGAAGGGCGGCTTAGAAGGACCCTAATTAAGTTAATAACAATGTACCTACCTATATGGTTTCAGTTTAAAAAACTTGGCTCTCCAAAGAAATTTCAATCGTTGTACCGTTATTTCGCTCTGTTGATTAATGCGTTTGCCGACCACTGACCTAAACTCTTTATAACTCTGCTTTCTTAGCTTTGACATAAGGTTGGACTAGATCAGAGTTTTTCAAATTGTGGGTAAAATTGAGGGTCTCAATTAATCAACATTTTTTAAAAAATATATATATTTTATTGATTTTTTACAGAGAGGGAGAGGGATAGAGAGCTAGAAACATTGATGAGAAAGAATCATCAAACAGCTGCCTCTTGCACACCCCTCACCAGGGATGTGCCCGCAACCAATGGACATGCCCTTGACTGGAATCGAACCTGGGACCCTTCAGTCCACAGACTGACGCTCTACCCACTGAGCCAAACTGGTTTCGGCCAACCGACATTTTTGAAAACAAGACAGGATATAAAATATGAATATAAATTCTGGTAACAAAACTACTCTCAGCTCCCTGCTATGGTCAAACAAGTTTTACAAACTTCGGATTACATTTTCTTCTGAACTCTTGTCACTGCTAGAATGACAAGACTCTACCAGATCTGCATAATCAAGCAAGAAATTAAGTAGGAGCCCTGGCTGGTGTTTCCCAATAGTTGGGGCATTGTCCAGCACACCGCAGAGTCAAGGGTTCGATTCCTGGTCAAGGACAGGTACCTGGGTTGCTGATTCACCCCCTGCCCCAGTTGGGGAGCATGTAAGAGGCAATCTCAATGCTTCTCTCTCTTCCTGAATAAGCAATGGAAAAAATATCCACTGGTGAGGATTAATAAAACAACCTCCACAAAAAAAGAAATTAAATGGGTCACACGTATCTGCTGCTGCCTGTTATTCAATACAGCCAATACAGCCATAGAAATTATATTTTTTTCTTTTCACCTTCATTTTAACATTGAGAAAAAAAATGGAAAGTCACCAGTTTAAACGTTATTCTGTCTCTTATCATATGGAGATTAAATGAGAAGACTCAAATACAGAATGGTCCAAAGCTTTGTTCACCAACAGGGTCGGACAACTGAGATTTTTTTTCTTTAAAGGATCATCACCGGTCCTAGCTGGTTTGGCTCAGGCTGAAGGGTCCCGGGTTCAATCCGGTCAAGGGCACATGCCCAGGTTTCGGCTCTATCCCCCATAGGGGGCATGCAGGAGGCAGCAATCAATGATTCTCTCTCATTATTGCTATTTTTCTCCCTCTCCCTTCTTCTCTGAAACCAATAAACAAATATTTAAAAAAAAAACGATCATCAAACTATTCAGAAACATGCTGCCTCCTCCTAAAGCCCTGGATTAACTGCGGAAGGGGGCGTGGTGTGGACCAGCGAAGCGGACGGGCGTGCCAAGTTTTTATCTGGTAACAAAGCTATTGTGATCTCCCTGCTTATGGGAAGCCTTTTCCCTGTTACTTTAGTTGCAAGTGAACGTGTGTAGCTAAAACCCCTTCATCATCCCAATGGGCAGAGTCCCGGCAGTGAGCACGTCAGTGCTACACAATGACGGGGGGCCGGGGCCTCATCCCCACCATCGCTCTCTATCCGCGTCGGCATTTCCCGCGGACGCCTCCGGCCGGAGTGAGGCGGGCTCGGGGCAGGTACCATCCCCGTCCCTGCACCGACGGGAGATCCTCACACCAGGTCACGGGGCTGGGAGGGCGGGCGGAAACTACCGATGCCAACACGCTCTGCCCTTCGCCGCCATTCAAACGTAACCCCCCGCAAGTGCGAGAGCGAAACGGCGACCAATGGAAGGGATGCCCAGGAGCCTGCCAGGGCAGGGGCGATCGCTTACCGCGAGCCCAGCGAGCTGTGCCGGCCGACCGGAGAGAAGAGCGCGGGGGAGCCGCCCGCCGACCCCAGCGACAGACCCTTCCTGCCGGCCGCCCGCGGCGTGGAGCCCGGCCCGACTCCGCCCAGCGGGCCCCTCCGGGCACCCGGCCCCGGGGTCCGCGGAGAGGAGACGGCCGGGAACATGACGGAGAGGAAAAGCTACAGAGCGCGCGTGGGTTCCGGCCGTGGGGCTGGCGCGCGGAGCTTGAACACGGCGCGGGACGGCGCGCCGTGAATACGTCAAAGCGCCGCGCCGCGGCTAGGAAGGAGGGCTCAGGATGATGACGTCAAGCGCCGCGCCGCGGCTAGGACGGAGGACACAGAATGGTGACGTCAAAAAACCGCGCCACAGTCTGGGAAGGAGGGCGCGGAACGATGACGTCAAAGGCGCTGGGCGAGTGCGCGGGATGATGACGTTCAGCGCAGCGAAGAGGACTGGGGGAAAGGTGAAAGGATTAGCCAAAGGACACAGATGCATGACCTATAGACACAGACAACGGGGTGCTGATGGTCACAGGGAGGGGGACGTGGGGGGCTTGGTAGAGGTAGGCTAAGGGGTGGGGGGGGGGGAAAAAGACAGACTCAAAGTTAAGGGGTGGAAAATGGCATCCAGAGAAAAATAGGTAGTATAACTATATCAGACAAAATAGATTTCAAGATAAAAAAGGTAACAAGAGACCAAGATGGATATTTCATAGTGATAAAGGGGACAAAACATCATAAAGATAGATGTATGCACCCGACCAGGCAGTACCAAAAAATATAAAGCAATCACTAGCAGAACTGAAGGGAGAAACTGACAAAAATGAATTTATAGTAGGGAACCTGAATACCCCATTGACACTGATGGATAGATCATCCAAACAGGAAATCAATAAGGAAGTATCAGCCTTAAATGACGCATTAGATCAAATGGACATAATTGATATTTATCAAGTGTTTCATCACAGAACAGTAGGGAACATTCTCAACACACACAAAAGTAGCCTCACTGGTTTAAGAAGATTGAGATCATACCAGGGATATTTTCCAACCACAATGCTTTGAGATGGGAAAATAAACTACAAAAAGAATGCGGAAAAGAATCACAAGTATGTGGAGATTAAATAACCTGGTACTAAACAAAGACTGGGTCAAAGAAGAAATAGATGAAAAAAGATAATAGGGGCAAATGAGAATGACAACATGACATGAAGATTTGAGAGAGGCAGCAAAAGTGGATCCAAGAAGGAAGTTTACAGCATTACAGACTTACCTCAAGAACAAGAGAAATCTCAAACAAATAACCTATAACATTTCACCTTGGGTAACTAGAAAAAGAACAGAGTCAGTAGAAGGAAGGAAATAATAAAAATTAAGAGCAGAATTAAACAAAACAGAGAAAAAGTACAGTAGGAAAATATATGCAACCAAGAACTGGTTCTTTGAACATAACACCAAGTTCTGGCCAGTGTTGGTAAATGGTTAGAGCATTGGTCCTCACACCAATCACTGATCAAGGGCACATACTTGGGTTGCAGAGTATTGTAGACTTGCACACTTGAAACTTAGCATAATGCTGTTAACCAGTCATCCCAGTAAATTGAATAAAAATAGCAAAAACAAAAAAAGGGACAGACACAAAGTTCACTATAAATTTTAATCCACGATATAAATGTTACCTACAGACACGCTGCATATCTTGTGTTAGAAAATACACATAATGATCAAGTTCGGTTTTGTGAGTCCTTCAATGGCCCAGACTTCCCTCACGCCCAGCTTTGTAGCTGCTCAGCCACACCGTCACAGCGCTCTGAGTCAGGACAAGTGAAGTCTGTTCAAATGATGGTGACAGATGTACTGCTCACCAACCCAAAACACTCAGTTCGCACATTCATGAATGAATTCCCTGATGTAGAAGGAAATATAGGACTCCATGCTTATCATGGAGTCGTGGATTCCTCTTCCAGTCTAACCAGGAAGCTAAGGATTGCTTAGTACAGGAGGAAACTTCCATCTGAATTAACGCAGTTACTTCTTAGGTGTGGTGTCACCAATGCAGAAAAAAACCCTTTTTTCTTGAGGCAAGAGCAAATGATCAGCACTGACGGGAAATTTGGCAAATGTGGCTGTCAGCACTGCTTATGATTTCTGAGGTAAATGAAACTATAGTCGTTAAGTAGAAGAAAAAGTTATTAACATCCTCTTTTCAGAAGACTGACGAGTTCTCAAGGTTTCTTGGCATTCTGTAGAATAGCAAGAACGTCTAAACCTTCTTCAAATGTTTTAAGCTTGAAAATGATAGCTACATCATTCGGATGTTAGCCTCATCAGGTGACATTTCAAATGTATTTAAGTGAGAAAAGGCTGTACAATTTGGGCTAGGGCTTATACATGTTTCAAATCCAATTTTCAGAACGTGCCTTAGACAACATCACGTAAAATTCATCTTTACATCTTTCTGGATGATGCCTGGCAGTCCACGCCTCTTTCCATGGGGCTCGCGGAAAGAAATGTGTGTGCAATGCAAATAGAAGTTTTCCTGGAAAAACCACACACAGCCTCGGCAAGAGGGACATGGCCTCCTGAGCTCTCACGCCTCTGAAGATGCAGGGAAGGGAGAATGTAAACGCCCCCTTCTCGCCAGGAGACAGTCACTGGCTCTGTGTAGGACACCCTGGTTCACTCCATGAGATGAGGATAAAATAAACAGCAAGGTTTTCATCTTCTATGACACAACTCAGTACCATTCCACCCAAGAGGGCAGAATGCTACCAGAGAATTACACAGTGATTGGCAGACTGGCCTAAAATAATTAGGCTTTTAAATTTATAATTCCCTTTTAAAACTGTCATTTGACAACAGCTTCCATCTCGAACAGCAGGTTAAAAAAAAAAAAATGAGGTGCCATGCTGTATGAAAATATCCCAAGATAAAATAAAGTATAAAACCTGAAAATAACTTCAGTGCTATAGACATTTAGAAAGTTGTAATTATTAAAACTCTGGCTGTAAAGGTTTTGAGAACAGGTTCCTCTTATATACTTTGGGAAAAATAGGCATATTTCAAAGAACTTGAAGTCTGATTTAGATTCCATACCATCTCTAAGAAATTCCCCCCTGCAATGCTGTTATGTCTTAAAGTCTCTCGTAGTCGCTTTGCCAGCAATCGCTTCTTTACGTGGAAACGAAGCTTTGTTTGTTCATTAATTTTCGGTATATCCCGTCGGGTTTGGCAAGCAGCTCTTCATGTTTCCCACATTCGATGATTTTCCCTCCGTCCAGAACAGCCACCATGTTAGCGTTCTTGATGGTGGACAGACGATGGGCAATGATCAGCACGGTTCTTCCTTCCATGAGCCGGTCTAGAGCTTCCTGCACCAGGTACTCGTTCTCAGCATCCAATGCGCTTGAGCGAGAAAGCAAAGACATCAGGGCCGGGCAGACTGAGGCCCATGCGTTCGCTTTACACACACACACACACACACACACACAGACACACAGCGGCCCTGCGCTAGCAGTGGGTGTTCACTAGGGTCACGGTCACCCCTCGGGCCTACATGACAAATCTCCTAGTCTAACAATTCTATATCGAACAGGAAGCGGGGCCTCTACATTCACGCAGAACCTGTCACATAGGTAGAAGCCGGTGGCAGTGATCAGGAATGCATCACACACGTGTCTGAACTGGAGCTCCAGCCCTCCCTCCAGCTCAGCCCACCCCTGCCTCCCGCTGTCACTCGCTCGGACTCCCTCACTTTAAAGCAGGGACAAGGCACTGGCAGCGGAACGCTGGGACGTATGTGTGGGAAGCTGAGTCTTTGGAAAAGGAACGTTTGCTTTACATAGGCACACAGCGCTGGGACAGCCTCACCTGGTTGCTTCATCCAGGAGGAGGATTCTAGGATTCTAAAGGACAACCATGGAAAAGAAAACATATTTTTATTAGAAAAACACCCACTCCCAGGAATGAAGACAAAGGAAGTACCGTGCACGATACAACATGAATGAAGCTTGAAAACCTTCTGCTCAGTGAGTAAGTCAGACGCGAAAACAGAACCACCGCCCCCGGGGCCGCAGGCTCACCTTCAGCAGCGCCCGGGCGATGGCGATCCGCTGCTTCTGCCCACCTGGTAACGACAAGGGGGTTTAGTGCGGAGCCCGAACAACAGGCCTGGGAACGGGCTTCCTAAGAAGGACTTCTCCCAGGCAGTCCTCGCTGACACAGATGGCAGGACCGAAACCTGTTTTAAAATACACTCCCTCCTCATTAACCTCAAAATTCATAGTGACAAACATTATCCTAGCTGACAGTAACCGAGGTGTTTAATGTACCAGGCATTTTTCCTTTCCTTTCCCTTCCCTTCCCTTCCCTTTCCCCTTCTCCTTTCCTCACCCGAGGATATTTTTTCCATTGATTTTAAGAGAGAGTGGAAAGGAGAGAAAGAAACACCGAAGTGAGAGAGACACATAGATTGATTGCCTCCCGCATGCCCCCAACTAGGGCCAGAAGCCTGGAATCAAACCCAGGACCCTCCAGTCTGCAGGCCGACGCTCTATCCGCTGAGCCAAGCCAGCTAGGGCTGTGCCAGGCATTTTCTAAATGCACAACATGTATTACCTCATTTAATCTTAAAAATCCTATGAAGTAGATGCTATTTCTATTCCCTTTGCTCTGGGCACAGGAGAAGCTGTGCAAACTGGTGCGTGGCAGAGCTGAGGTCTGCACCTGCAGAGGAAGGGCCAGCAGGGGGGCAGGGGCCCAGTGCCCACCGATTCCTCAGCAGAACGTGCAGAGGATGGGAGCAAAGAGCATGGGAGGTGCTGGGCCTGCCACCCACGGTTCCACCTCAGAGCCTTCCTTCCTCCCTCAGGTCATTCTCCTCTTTCCCCAGCCCAGAGAAGAAACTGGGACATACAGTGATTTGTGTGCATGTATGAAGCTGGAGGTAACAGAATAAACCACGCTAACCCCCCATTTTTAGCCCTGGCCAGTGTGGCTCAGTGGATAGAGCATCGACCTGTGGACTGAAGGATCCCGGGTTCGATTCTGGTCAAGGGATATACCTGAGTTGCAGGCTCCATCCCCAGTGTGGGGCGTGCAGGAGGCAGTGATCCGTGATTTTCATCACTGATGTTTCTCTCCCTTGCCCTTCCCCCTTCCTCTCCGAAATCAATAAAAACACGTTTGAAAACAGAACGGCAGGCACCTGAGAGGAGGACGCCCTTCTCGCCGACCACCGTGCTGAACCCCTGCGGGAAGCTGTGGATGAACGAGGTGGCGTTGGCAACCTCTGCCACCTTCTCCACCTGCTCGGCAGTCACCGCAGAGGGGTCCTCTGCCCCGTACGCAATGTTCTCAGCGATGGAGCAAGAAAACAAAATTGGTTCCTGCAAAATGGAAATGGGACATGTTTACTTTGAATTTTGAAACAGACTGCACACGCCTGGAGACCACGGAGCTCACTCAGCGCAGCACTTAGATCTGAGAGACTATTCAACTGCCCCCAGCAGCACACGCTTTCTTGGCTCCACTTCTTCATTCCTCATGAATCACCCAGCAGCACTGACCTCATCATCTGTAGCTCCCACCCCCCTGCAGGGAGCGAGATCCCAAGGCAAAGGCCTGCACGGCGCTCAGTACACAGTAGGCGCTTCATAAATGCAAGCTCCCTCTTCTCGGGAGTCGTGAGGCCCTGGGAGGCCACAGCCCGTCTGCATTTTCCGCGGCCTGCCTTCCACCGAGGACATTGCTTTTTAACATGTACGCAACCAGCCCTGGCTGGTTCGGCTCAGTGGATAGAGCGTCGGCCTGCGGACTGAAGGGTTCTGGGTATGATTCCAGTCCAGGGCACATGCCTAGGTTGCGGGCTCCATCCCCAGTGTGGGGTGTGCAGGATGCAGCTGATCCACAATTCCCTCTCATCACTGATGCTTCTCTCTCTCCCTTCCTCTCTGAAATCAAATGAAAATGTATTTTAAAAATAAAAAATAAATTTAAAAAAAGTCAGTGCTTCAACGGGTTAGAGTGAATGAGGTCCTGAGAAACAGCACTGTTTACAAACCTATGCCCCCTGCCACGGGCGACCAGCTCAATGGGTCTGGAAGCCGCCGCTCCTCCTTCCCCGAACTGTCCCTCCTTTGCTAAACTCACAAACTCACGACCAAGCAAAGAGCGAGCGACCAAAGCAGCTTTAAGAGAAAAACACGATAAAAGCCACCCCTTCCTCCTACCTGACTGACGGTCCCGATCTTGGATCTCAGCCAGACTGGGTTCAGCTGGCGGATGTCACGACCGTCCAGACTGATGGTCCCTGTAGGGAAGGAAAGTGCTGGTCACGGGGCCGCCCACGCGCGTAAACACGGTCTGGTGGGGAGGTTCCAGGCAAGTCTCTGGAGCATTTTGAAGTGGAAATAAGTTTGCATCCCAGCTCTTTGCACAATGGAGCCCTCTGGCAGGGCACGGGCGTGAGACAGCCCCGCCCGCCCTCCACGGGGAGGACCCTCACCTGACAGGGGGTCGTACAGCCGCAGCAGCAGGGAGACCACCGTGGACTTGCCAGAACCACTGGGGCCAACCAGCGCCGTGACGGACCCCGCGGGGATGGAGAGGCTGAAGTCCTGGAAGATGGGCACCTCCGGGCGGGCCGGGTAGGAGAAGTGCACGTTCCTGAACTCCAGAGCACCCTGGAAGCTCTTCCCGTTCAAGGTCAGCCCCTCTGAAACGGCAGACGGACATCCTCGCTCAGTGCGGTGAGCGCAGCACCCGCCTTCAGGCCGGGCAGGGAGCACACCTGTCGGCCCCACGGGAAAGCAGCACGCGCTGCAGACCCACCATTGAAAGGCAGCTCCGGCTTCCTCTCCAGCAGCTCCCAGAGGCGGCCCCCGGCGCCCAGGCCTTTCATCAGCTCCGAGTAGAACGAGCTCAGACCTGCGGGGAGAGGCGCACATCCGCCACTGGTGCGGGCCACAGCCGCCGCTGCCCCATCCCGCGGGGCGAATCGACAGCGTGCGCTTCACATACGACCTGCTGCTTTAGAAGGGGAACTCAGGCAGCTGCCTGCACACCCAGGGCCAGAACCCCCATCTTACACCCTCGTTCTCCTTCAGCTCCTCCTCCTCAGATTTCACTGCTTTCTAATAAGGATTTGGTGGCTGGTCAGGGAGTTTACAAATACATACGGCCACACTCATCAACCGCTGAATTCAAAGCACAGGGCTACAGAGGAAATTCTGCCTAGCCCAAAGCATAACAACGTAAACAAAATACATATAAGGTTATCCCATGCTTAAAGGGAAAACATTCTAGCACAGAGTTCTTTCAGGTGCTGAGAGAGGGGCCAATAGGAGAGTGAGTTTCGCTTTCAGACACTAGTACCCAGTTTTCCACCTGAACGGCCCAAGCCTGGTTAGATCATATACCTCCGATGCTCAGTCCAACCCAGAAAGCATACATGAGGAAGGAGGAGAGCTCCCCCACGGTCATGTGGGCGCCGCCCATCAGCAGCCCGCCTTTGTACAGCACGGAGAGCACGATCAGGTTCCCCGAGAGCCCGGTCTGCGAGGGAGGAAACACACAAGTCAGATGGGAGGTGAAGACTCAGACAGCAGACAGCAAGACCACAGCCTGGACCCCTTCCTGCATCTAACGGTCACAGCCAGGCTTCCCAAGCTATTACGGTGCCCTCTGAATGTCAAACGAAGACGTACTTTCAACAGATTGCAATATCGAAAGAAATCATCTCATCAACACAGAAGCCCAGAAGCTGAGTCACCCTCAGGTTCCCATTCCACTCTTATCTGCTCCATTTGCCAAAGAAAAAAATAACGTGAAGGATTCCTTTGCTCACTGGAGGCAGTGAGCACATGACTAACGTGTGTTCACATAGTCTCCATGGCGGGCCAGGAGACTGGAACCCGGGATCCCTGATCCACCTTGACGGGTCAGATGTGGGGCTCTTGGGGGGTCTTCTCCGGGCCTGTTCCTCACCTGTTGAGCCCCAGCCTGTGAAGTTCTATCCAGACTGAGCGGGTTAGGAATCGCCTCCATGGTGAGCTCCTAGCTCAGTGTCCCATGTGAGTTCACTGTGATCAGCTTTCGGGCACTTCCTTCTTGAAGTGCTGAGGGTGTGCTGGCCAGCCCTCAGTGGGCTCCCACTGCTTGCATCAGAAGACGCGGGAACCTGTTCTAACAGATTGCTGGCCCCCTGTTCGACAGGTCTGGAAGGAGCGGACAGTGCCCAGGGGACGCTGAGAACCAGTGCCTGATCCCACAGTGTCTGGTCTCCTTGCCCACTGCCTTTTCCTTCACTGCATTTACTGGTTTCTCTTCTTTCCAAAACATATTCTAAGGAAGACAACTCTTCGCCTAGAGGTAGAATGGACTCTGTCTACTTGTGGCCAGAGTCACAGGATAGAAATCTCTCCCAGTGACACCATCCTCCTTCTTCCTTCCCACATGATGTACTTACTGCTCCGAAGAAGCCGGCCCGAGCAATGGCCTCCTTCCTGGCCAGCTGCATCACGAAGTCCACTTTGCTGCTGTACTTCTCGATTTCAGTCATTTCTTTCCCGAAAGCGCGGACAGTTCGGATGTTTCCGATGCGTTCCTCGGCTAGCTGGGAGAACAGAGACACGTCAGGGGGAGAGGGGCAAGGCCACATGTCAAGAGTTCTGGAGGCACAACTGACACAGAAATATATCTTCATGCAGAGAACAAGATTTATAAAAAAGACAGGTTCCAAGATATTAATAATGTTAATTGAGAGGCAGGCTTACGCGTGTTATTTTTTCCCTTCATATTTTCAAACAGAAACATAGATGGTTTTGCAATATAAAAATGTGACAATTATTTTTAATTTTTAAAGAAGACACTATGGGACAGCATTGCAAAGCTACTGTTATTCATTAATGGAGATGAGAGTGTCACCCAGGTGTTTGGGAAATATGGTTAGCTTTTTTGTCCTGCAAGAAGTATTGATGGGAAGAAGAAAGAAGTAGATCCAGTTGTGTTGGATTTATTCTGACACGTGGGCAGTAATGCAGTCTAGAAGGCAGAATGTTTTAGTTCGGATGGAAGGAAAAGTGAGTAGTTTTTGCAAAGTCTGAGCACATCGCTCAGGGTCTGTCCCCACTCGGCGGGGACCGTGCCAAGGAGGGGCCTGTACCTGAGTGGCTTGTGCCAGCGAGTCCTGAGTGAGTTTGGTCAGTTTCCGCAGATAGCGTCCATACACCACGGCGAGGATGGATATTGGAGGCACCACACTCAGAACAAAGGTGGCCAGATGAGGCGAGACAAAAAACTGTCAAGACAAAGCCAAAAGGTGTCTGTTACACAGAGAAGCAGGAACTCTCACCACCTGTTGTAGGTGAGCGTGTGTGAGTGTGAGTGTGAGTGTGTGTGTGTGTGTGTGTTCCAATGAAGAGATGGCTGCACTGGTGGAACTTTTCATAAAACCTACGATATTGAGATGCCGCACAGGAGCCACGTGACCAAGAGCTGCTGCAGACAGGGCGGGAGCCTTTGACCCCGCTGTCTGCACTATGGGGTTCAATGACAGAGAAGGGGAGCAGGGCGGGAGTGAGGGAGAGGCCCGCTCTGCTCACACTGCGGGACCACGGCAGGAATCCTGTGCCCAGGGCCACGGTCCCACCGAAATGACCAAGACGGCACAGAGACCAAACACACGGCGTCCTGTGATGGGCAGACGACAGGGACGCAGCGGGAGATATAACCGACAAGGTAAGAAGCGTTACAGCGTTTCCCTGGCCGGAAGCATGTGGATCTGACAGCTGGACCGGCTCAAAGAGGAACCAGCCGACCTCCAGAGTAGCCTGGGGGAGGGGTGTTCCTGTCAACCTTGCAATTTGTAGATTATATCTTTTTTTTTTTTTTAATATATTTTATTGATTTTTCACAGAGAGGAAGGGAGAGGGATAGATAGGGAGAAACATCGATGAGAGAGAACCATCGACCAGCTGCCTCCTGCACACCCCCTACCGGAGACGTGCCTGCAACCAAGGTACATGCCCCTGACCGGAATCGAACCCAGGACCCCTCAGTCCGCAGGCCGACGCTCTAGCCACTGAGCCAAACCTGTTTTGGCTGTAGATCGTATCTCAAACGGCACTAGCACTTCTTCAGCAAATTACTGAAATCTGCCAAATCTCATTTGCACAGAAAATAGTAGAATCAAAACAAGGCTCTTCTAAAATGCTGAGGAAAAGGAGCAGACTGCAGTGTGAAGTCATGGACAGAACAATCGTTGGGCCAAAGCTGGTTTGGCTCCATGGATAGAGCGTCGGCTTGGGGACTGAAAGGTCCTGGGTTCGATTCCGGTCAAGGGCATGTGCCTTGGTTGTGGGCATATCCCCAGTAGGGGGTGTGCAAGAGGCAGCTGATCGATGACTCTCTCTCATCGATGTTTCTAACTTTCTGTATCTCTCCCTTCTCTCTGTACAAAATCAATAAAAATATATTAAAAGAAGAAGAAGAAGAAAAAAAGAACAATCGTTGGTTCATTCATTCATTCATCCATCCAGAGGGGGCCGACTTACCATCATGCCGATCCCGACGGAGGCCTGGGCCCCGGCCCGGAGCCCGTCCGAGAGGTTCTCCGTCACCGAGCGGCCCAGGAGCGCGGTGTCGGAGGACAGGCGGTTGATGAGCTCGCCCGTGCGTGTCTTGTCGAAGAAAGCCACCTCCTGCCTCAGGACGGAGGAGAACAAGGAGGCTCGCAGCCGGTTCACGATGCGCTGCCCTGCACAAGCCAGCGGGGAGGGCCGCGTCAGCCCGAGGTCGCCGCCTCTCCGCCCGCAGCCTCCGAGGCTGGGCTGCTGCCCTCTGACCCCTGGGGACACTCGCCGGGGCCCTGGCAGCTGGGCAGGAAGCCGCCGGGAACGGGCATTAGGCTCCCTTAGCCAGTGCAGCCTGGAGGCGGAGGAGAGGCTGCAGGGACCGTGTAAACGCAACGGGACTGAGAGATCCTTAGACTATTTGCACAGACGTTTTACTCCTGTGTCCCTCCCCGGCAACCTTTTCCGTATTGAACTTGCAAATGGCAATGACTGGTTAATTATCCACCAGGTATTTATTTTATCAACTAAATGGCAAGCAACCGACGTAGAGTCGGGCGTCCGGGCGCTGTCATGTCTGTGGCGGTCGCCTGCCTGTGAGCCAGCTGGCCCGACGCAGACACGCTGTCCAGGCATCGCCCAGCTCCCCCTGGAGGGAGGCCCCGCGCCAGCCTCCAACCTCCCGGGAGACAGACGGCTGCTCCCGCCCAGCCCAATCCAAGTCACACAGAAGAGGCTGAGGAGAGGCGCTGAGCTAACAAAAGCCACAGCTCCTTAAGCCATAAGTCCCTACTGATTGCTATTGATTTTTTGAATATATTTGTATTGATGTCAGAGAGGAAGAAAGAGGGAGAGAGTGGTGAAACATCAATGATGAGAGAGAATCATTGATTGGCTGCCTCCTGCACGCTCCCACAACCTACCTGGGCCGGGAATCGAACTGGGACCTCGTGGTTCATAGGTTGACGCTCAACCTCTGAGCCACACTGGCCAGGCCCCCTACTGAATGTGATGCAGAGAGAGAAGCCCGGGGCCTGCAGCACACGACACCCACGTGGCTGCCCTCGGGGCTCCCGGGCGAGGGGCGCTGACCTGAGGTTTGCATGAGGTAGACACGGACAGCGTTGGCCGCCGCTCCGCACAGGAACACGCCGCTGAGGGTCAGGCAGAGGCGGGTGAGGCTGCTGGTGTAGTCCCCGGTGGGGTTGGTGTAAATGACGTCGATGATCTTCCCCAGGAAGAAGGGCGCCGACATAGTGATGACGCTGGACACGGCCAGGAAGCCGACCGCGGCTGCAAGATACGGGCAGTTTTCAGCTCACGGCCGCGGGGAATGGTCGTCCCTCCAGCTCCCGGACCCGACTGCAGGAAGAACCCATGGGTCTCGGGACAGAACCAGTGGGTGACCCCAGGGAGGGGCTGACCATGCCCTGCATCACCCTAACCTGACCCCCGCCCTCCCTCACTAGAACCCCAGCGCTACCGCCGGCCCCTCCTTCCTGCCTCTTGTCCTGGGTGTTCGTTTCAGATGGCATTTTTTCCTACATTCATGCTACCCTTTGCCACGCCTTGGTATCTAACTGTATCCTAGTTTCTAGCTCCAATTATGCAGGGAAAGCTCTTGATGAGTTTCGAATGCCCACACGTTAAGTCAGCATGGGAAGGCAGTAACAGGTAACAGGCCTTCGTCACACACGGGACACGTCCTGTCATCACATCCCTGCTTTTGGTGGCCAAGCATGGAGGCCGGGCAGGGAAGGAAGTGAAGACATGGGGGGCTGAGAGACGAGCAGGAAGCGGAAGGTGCCGGGAGCTGGGCAGGCTCAGAGAGGACAGGTCTGGCGCAAGGCCCAACCGTGAGCGTGTGCCAGGGAGTGAGGCGCCTGTGCCACATTGGACTCCAGCGCCCGCAGGCATGTCAGGGGAGCCGGGCCATGGAACGTAACATGTTCTGTCACACTGAAAAGAGCATGCCTGCCATGCTGTCTTCATGGCAGGGTCAATTGGGGGGGGGGGGGGAGAGAAGAGGGCATATACTAGTAAGAAAGGTTTTTTAACAAAGATTTTTTTTCAACAATAAAGATTAAAAAAAAAAAAAGAGTAAAGGAAGAGATAAAATTAATTCTAGCAATACATTGTATTTGACCCAAACTATCCAACAATATGGATCAAGATAAAAAGTATCAATATGTAATCCAACAACGTAATCAAGATAAAAAGTATCGATACTTTACTTTCTTTCCTACTAAATCCTTTCCAAATCTCGTGTGCATTCTACACTTGAAGCAATGCACCAAATGTCAATGTTCTCTTTGAAATACGGCGTTTCCCGGCAGGCAGACACGCCTGGCTTTCTGGAGGAGTCTCTCCACGCCTGGGTGCAGCTGCAGTGTCCTGGCCAGCACCCATAGCCTTTCATTTTGGTCCCTTCACGTCTGTCTTCATAAAACCTAACTACAGATGCAGCCTGTCACCTGGCGGCCATCGGGCTCCTGGCGGCCATCGGGTTCCAAGAATGGTCCTAATCTAAAGCCACACACACAGCCCTTATCGGGAATTAAAGCGAGAGGCGCCCTCCCAGGCCTCCCCACCCCCTGCCCCCCACAGTTCCCCAATGCACATGGGGGGGTGGAGGTTGGAGGGGATGTACCTTCCCCAGGGTGACTAGGAACCGGCCTGGGAAGTGTGGGGAGGCAGCTGCTCTGCACACCTCGGCCCGTTACCCCAAGGGCCTCCGGCTGGCAGCCCCGTTAGAATCTTCCAGGAGCCCCAGGGGCCCGCGGTTCATTGAAGTCCCAACTCCATGCCCCTGTTGGTCGCCCGGCTCCCCTATCACCCAGGTGCAGCCGAGGGCTCTGACCGATGACTCCTATCCTGTCAGCCCACACGGGCTCCCGGGGAGCCCCGCATCTGAGACTCCCCGGCCCAGATGATAAGATGAGGGGTTATCAGGGGAAATGCCGAGGGCCACAGCTGCAGGGAGATAGCTGCGCATCCATCCCTACACCCGGGGCGACGGGGTGGGGGCAGAGGGCAGGGCAGGGAAGTCATGCGAACACGTCTCTGCACACATCTGCAACATGTCAGACAGGAGGTCCTGGTACAAATGATTTAAGATCAAAGTGTCCTGGCCAGGCAGCTCAGGTGGCAATTTCGCAAATTGCTGCAAATGGTTGAAAATACCGTTATTCAAGTGGGTAGCTGAATTTTTTAAATAGTTTTTTTTTTTTTTTAATATTTGTTTCTCTAAAAGTTAACACATGGATAGTGGAATTCCTTCTCTTCAACTGAGTTTTCTTCGGTCTCTCGATTAAAAAGCAGACACACACACACACACACACACACACACACACACAACTGCTCTCTATCTCCAGCACCTGAAAGGCATGTGCCAACCTCGGGGACTGCTCTCAGGAAGATAAGTTACAAACTGATGATGACCCCTCACTTCCTCTGAGCCCCACTAATGCTGGCCCAATAGATCTTATCGGATGAGTTCCCAGGAAACCAGATGTCCTAATAAGAGGTTTTTGTCAGATTGCCTCATAAGACACCGTATGCATTTATTATCTGTTTAAAAATATTTTTTTAATAGGTGTATAACGCAATTTACTTCCTCAAATTCTGTGTTCACAGTTATTCAAGGTGGCATATCAACAAAGCTTTCCTTCTTTAAATAAAAGGAGGTACAGCTCTTGCGGTGGCTAGGGCTGTCTTAACATATCAGCGTGGCGGGACACGTGAGAACATGGTAAGAGGGCTCAGGGGGTGAGGGGCATGAGAGGGGCAGGCTGGGCTCCCCAGTGGGCTGAGCATGTGTGGGAACCAGAAAACCGTCCTGACATCAAGTACCTCAGAAACAAAATAAAACCGTGTTCCCATACCCTTGCTCCACGCTGCATGGAGAAAGGGGCCACCCCTGGAGGGCTCAGGGGCTCCACATTAGGCCTCACCCTGGGCCTGGTCCCACCGGCATGAATTCCATCATCGAAGGCACTCTGCGCCCTGCTCTGGGCCCCACGCTGAGAACCGGAGGGGGAGGGAGGCAGAGGAGTGGGACAGCCACTCACCCAAGCAGCTCAGTCCACGAGCTCCTCGTTTCAAAACTTACCCTTTTTAAAAAATACTTTTATTGATTTCAGAGAGGAAGAGGGAGGGAGAGAGAGAAGCATCCATGATGAGAGAGAATCATGGATCGGCTGCCTCCTGCACGCCCCAAACTAGAGATCGAACCCGCAGCCCGGGCATGTGCCCTGACGGGCAATCGAACCGTGGCCTCCCGGTTCCTAGATCGATGTTCTAACCACTGAGCAACACCGGCTTGGCAAAAGGATCTTTATCTCCATCAAACGAATCCTCTTTGCTCCCAAGCTTTGACAGCGGGAGGTAATGTTCCCCTGGGGACTACCTGCCTCCCCAACACCAAGCCCCAAATCACCAGCCGCTGTTTGGAGGACCCTTGCTAAGGCAATGGTGTTGCAGCAAAGAATGTGGGGTGCTCACCCGTTTCAAGTGTCTCCCCAAGAGCCTCGCAGGCCTCTTTCCAAGCCCTCAGCACAGACGCACTTGCATCTCCAGTCATGCGACCATTTCACTCATGGGAAGCCCCAACAGGAACAGAAACTGCGCTTCTCTCTGCTCTCCAAGGGAACCCACAACTAAACAAATGAAGGTTTTTGTCCAACCAGCCTCGACCTGCCAATCAGAAGGTCACAGTTCGATTCCGTGTCTGGTTTGCTGCCTCAACTCCCAATGAATCTCTCTCATTCATGTTTCTATCTCTCTCTCTCTCCCCTCCTCTCTGAAATCAACTTATTATAAAAAAAGGAAAGAAAAGAAAGATTTAGAGAAACCTAAAAAATGTGCATTTAAAGCTTTCTCTAATTAATGCCTAAAAACGAGGAGCTACAGAAAATTGTCTTATCTGGATTTTGTTTTCTAAAAGTGTTCATTCTCTTTATAAAAATTACTTTTGATTTAGTTGGGTTGTGACCTATCGTTTCTCAAAACGTCTGGAGTTTATTGATTTCTCTTTTATTTTGTTGTTAATCCTCACCTGAGGATATTGTCCCATTAATTTTGAGAGTGAGAGAGACAGACAGACAGACATTGATTGATTGGCTGCCTTTGCCCAAGCCACATCCATAGCTGGGGATCCAGAGCCTGCAACCGAGGTACCTGTCACTGACCAGAATCGAACCCGGGACCCTTCAGTCCCCCAGACCCACCTGAGCAAACCCGCCAGGGCAAAACTTCTCGAGTTTATATCAGTCATCCGGGCCAGTGCTGAATGCTCTGAAAATAGCAAAGCAACTTCCTCCCCATCACCCTAGGGGCAAAAAGCAGTGGGCCCAATGGGAAAGGCTTAGATGGTTCCACTTCACCTGGCCAAAAGCCATTGCTCAAGTAACCCTGCCTAAATAAAGCAAGTCAGTGTGAGCGCGCAATACAAAGTAGGTATGTTTTTGGCTCGAGTTTTAATTTGTAAAAATAAGAGATGTGAGCTCTAACCGGTTTGGCTCAGTGGATAAAGCCTGCGGACTCAGGGGTCCCAGGTTCGATTCCGGTCAAGGGCATATACCTTGGTTGCTGGGCACATCCCCAGGAGGGAGTGTGCAAGAGGCAGCTGATCAACGTTTCCCTCTCATTGATGTTTCTAACTCTCTATCCCTCTCTCTTCCTCTCGGTAAAAAATCAATAAAATATATTTTTTAAAAAAGAGAGATGGGGAAACCCGGCTGATTCGCAGAATGCTGGCAGCGCCCAAGAGAGGCAGACCCGACTTTCTAGGGAGACACCACGCCGTGCCCATCGGATAACGAACAAACCATCGTAAAGCGAATCCTGAAGCAGGTGCCCAGCTAACCCGACGCCGCTGTGGGTTGAGTGGTTCCGTCCAGCGCTTCTGGGTTCAAAACCCCAGGAAGAGGTCACCCTGTCCTCTCGGGGCTGCAAGGGCAGGGTCTCCGCTCGGGGCCGGGACCACGCGCCAGGTAAGGTGCACCGGCGGGCGGGGGCGGGAAGGGGACGGGGAGCCCTACCTGCCAGTCTCCGGCGCTCGGGGTACGCCAGCCCCAGCAGCTTCTGGGCCTCCGAGCGCCCGGCCGCCGCGGGGCGCAGCCGCGAGTCGTCCCTCGGAGCCGCCGCGGCCTCGGGCACCGTCGGTCCGCGCCGCCAGGCCTCGCCCCCCGCGCGGGCGCCGCCGGCTGGGCCGCCGGAGAGCAGGGCGCGCGGGAGGCGGGGGGGCCCGGGGGGTCCAGGGGGCCGCGCCCGCAGCAGCAGGAGCCGCGCCAGACCCGCTCCGCCGCCGGGACCCCCGCCGGGACCCCCGGCCGGGCAGCTGCTCGCCCAGCAGCGCAGGCTGCGCGCGGCTCCCGCACCCCCAAGGGGGCCGGGCCCGGCGCACCAGAGCCGCGGGGGCCCCAGGCCGGTGGGCAGCGGCCGGGACACGGGGGCGCGGGCGGCCGGGGTCCACGCGAAGGTGAGCGGGCCCCGCCTCACGAGCAGGCGCAGCGGCCAGGCGAGCGGCCCGCGCATGGCGCCGCGTCCGAGTGGAGTGTCTGCGCCCGCCCGGCCGGCCCCGCGCGCACGGAGCCCGAGGACCCTCCCGGCCCGGCCGAGCGGAGGGCGTGCACTCGGCGCCGCCCGCCGCCCCGCCCGCTGTCACCCGCCGTCACCCGCCGCATCGGGCCGGCGGCCCAGGCGCCCGCCCGGGGCCGCGCCCCTCGGCCGCACCCGCCCTCCGACCGACCCGGGCGCGCTCCTCGCAGCGCCCCCCACCGGGCAGCCGAGGGCCGGCCCGCCGCCTGCCACCCGCGCGGGCTGGGACCCGGCCCGGAAGTGGTGAGCACAGCCACGCCTGCGCACTGGCGCTCAGGGAGCTTTTTTTCACGCTCTTCCGTCCACTCTGTTCAGAACCTGGAGCGGCGCGTGCCCTTTCTCACGCCGGCGGAAGGGGCGGGGCGGAGCGCGCAGGCGCGATCACAGGACGCCGGGCGTGAGGATGGCGGCTGCAGGACAGCGAGCTGGTGGGCTGGGCGTGCAGCGAGTCCCGGTCCTCGGGGGCCCAGCGGGAACGGGTCCTGTCACCGTGTGTCCCAGGGCGGAGCCGAGGCGCAGAAACATTGCTGGAGGGAGCCTCGCTGCGGGGCGGCTCCGTTCCGAAAGGCATTGTGGATGGAGGAGGTGGTTGGCGAAGACATCAGTTTATAACCTGAGCTCAAGTGCGAACGCACGTGTGGTCCAGGCACTCTGGCTGCTCACAATGGAGACCAAGCCGAGTGCCATGTGTGTTAACACGCGCGCCAGGAAAGCTGGAGGAGGCCTCGTGGTGGGCGCCTCTGTAAGCTGAGGGGTGGTCGTGGGGCCCGCTGGTTCTTATTTCAGGGTCGTGGTTGAGGCTGGAGGGGGAATAGCGGTCCTAGTAATGCGAATTACTATTCCCACTCGAAAATAAAGATAACGTCTCACTACCTTTTTTAGAAATTAGGACAAAATTGCCCGGCCGGCATGGCTCAGAGGTTGAGCATCGATCTATGAACCTGGAGGTCACGATTCGATTTCCGGTCAGGGCACATGCCGGGGTTGTGGGCTCGATTCCCAGTGGGGCGTGCATGTTTCTCTCTCTCGCTTCCTGCCTCTCAGCACCCCCCTCAAGTCAATAAAAACATACTTTAAAAAATTGCTTGGCCACTGAGAAGGGCAAGAAATCTTCTAAGGTGTGCTTGGAGAAAAAAAGAAGCAATGCACTTAGATATGGATTCGTAGTAAAAATAAATAAATAAAATGGGCCAGCAAAGCCAGGGAAGGTTGCGTGTTAATTCTGAGGCAGCAAGCAGAATTTCAAATCCTGCCCCCAGAAAGACAGATCCCTTGGCCGAGGCACGGTTGTGCCAAGCAGTGAAATCTGGCCCTCCGTGAATAGAGGCTTCCTAGGTTTGTTTAGTGGCCGACAGGTGTCAAGTTCAGAAGGAACTTCTTTGGATGGAAACTTGAGAGCAGCTGGGATTACTTCGAGGTCAGTTCCACCTGTGGGTTCTTGTCTTCTCTAAGGGTGACAAAGGAGCTCATGGGGACAGCGGCACAGGAAGGAGGCAAACAGCCTCGCCAGCCTGTGGCCCGGCCATAGAGTAAATGGACACATTTCCAAAACATGCAACTGAAAGCCAAGTTGAAGTACAGACTAAAGGTTTTAATCCACATACTTAAATACCAATCTGGGCAACAGCAAAATGAGAAGCCTACATATTCAAAAAAAAAATACTTTTTTTTTTTTTTTTAATACAACCAAGACATTTTTTCTTTTTAAATACAGGAATGAAACAAATGAAAAACTAGTCTCCTTAGAAGCTAGACCTTGAATTTAAAAACTTTTCACTGTTTCCTGTTTTCTCTGTTCAGGACTTTTAGTCATTAATTCTCTTTCTTTCTTCCTTTCTGCCAGTCTATGCTAAAATTAAAATTTACAATCAGATTTACTGAGCCTGTCAGTGTTAAGATATTTCAACTGTCCCCGACCCACCCCATATACACCTCACAGATCTATCCTTGTGGTTCAAAATAACTGAATATTCTAAAGTTTCTTTATTCCAGAAAAATAAATTATATAGTCTTTTTTTTTTTTTTTTTTTTTTTTTAGGCTTTCGGTTATTTTCAATACAAAATGGTAGCATCACCCATAGGACTGAATGCTCTGAAGAGGAAATAAAACTGCAGAGAGCAACCTGGAGGGGGCGCCCACGTTCTCTGTACACCCTTGTGGAAGCACAGACAGCCCCCCCCCCAATACTATTTCAGAGATTTGGGGGAGAAAGTTGTGAGGAGCGTTCTAGAAAGTTTGATGACCCCACAATAAAATGAGTTCACAAAAAGGAGAAAAAAAAAAAAAGGCCAAATATGCAAATCATTAAGAGCTTCCATTGAAATCACAAAGTATATACATGATTGGAAAGGTGAAGATGGCCCAGCCTATTTCTGTGTTTAATCAAACAAGTTCTGCATTAAAAATAACAAAACAAATGCAAAAGCTTCCGGATTATCGCTATTTCCACTTCGGAGAATGATTAGGTCCAATTGGAGAATTTCATTCTTTCCAGCAACACGCCGTACAATCCATCCAGTGGAGGGATTCCATTCCAGGCTTTTCCTGCAGGCCACATGGAAGGTGATACTGTCTTAAGTTGCCAAAGGATCCTTCTTGCAATGTCTCAAATATATATATATATATTTAAAATATATTTATTGATTTTTTACAGAGAGGAAGGGAGAGGGATAGAGAGCTAGAAACATCGATGAGAGAGAAACATCGACCAGCTGCCTCTTGCACACTCCCTACCGAGGATGTGCCCGCAACCAATGTACATGCCCCTGACCGGAATCGAACCTAGGACCCTTCAGTCCGAAGACCGACGCTCTACCACTGAGCCAAACCGGCTTCGGCTCAAATATATATTTTTATCTATAAGAAACATGTCCTGTGAGTTAGCACCGTGGGCTCAAGTAAAAAAATGTGTTTGTTTTTTTGGCACAGAATTCTAGAGTCTCCCTCAACAACCTCCTGGCAGTTCTCGGGTCCTGGCCAGAACAAAATCACGCGTCGGAAGCACACTGTGGAAATTCTGGCGTCACTGACATCTTGGACCGAGTCCTTTCCCTGGAAATGGTTCAATAAATTAGTTTGAGTCCATTCAGTAACACCCCCTAAGCGATTCCGTAATGGGGTCTTCAGAGGAGGAAATGACGTAGAATCTCACCAGATAACTCTGGATGGCGACACAGATGTAGTCTCCGGTCAGGGGGCGGCAGTCGGGGATGCATCAACGGTATTAAACGTGATCGGTGGTCCACGTGACCGCCAGGGAAGCGTGATTCCAAGCAAGCTGAGCAGCACAGAGCGGGTCAGGGTGCCCCTCCGAGGGGCTTGGACCGGCCTAGGCCCTGGTTCTCCCTCACGGCTTAAATGAGATGCCAACACTTTTTTCTTTTTTGGGAAACTAAATACATTTTAATAGAAAACAAAATACAAAATAACTCTTTTTCAGGAAGAAAAAAAAAAAAAAAAAAACACCAGAAAGACTTAATCCTTTTTTCCCTCCAATCAGACCTCGCGTTATTCTGGGGGTGGGGGTGGGGGTTAGACGTCTCACAAAGTGTCCGTCAAGCTGCTGTTTCGATGCAGGAGGCGGGAGCAGTGACCTCAAGGAGCGAAAGGCCGAAAAAGCCACAGCTCTGCCTCTGGACTGATCACCTCACATTATTTCCATTTCTTCCCGACATTTCGGAGGGGGGGGGCGGGAGGGGGGGCGCTTGTTCACAGAAGTGAGCCACGAGGTCTCGCTTTCCCACCATCACTGCACGAGTCCGAGGCTTCCTCCCCTGGATGCACCCGCTTCTAGAGACCCTTCGGGTGACCCACCTGTCGCCCAGAAGTCCTCCCTTTCCCACAAGACACTGCGCCCCCAGAGCCCTTGAATTCCCTGAACCTCAACATGCCAAGCATCAGACCCAGTGCCAGGAGCCAGACCTGAAGGTGGAGAGCAGGGAGGTGCCTCTGCCACAGCTAGGCTTCCCCTCCTCCATAATAATAATAATAATAATTACTATAATTACATTAACAATAATAAAAATCCTGCTCTCTGTCACGGGAGAGGAGCGGCCCTCCCAAGGATGACCCTCACCCCCCCTTCCTCGTCCCGCGTCCCCACCCCTGCCTTCCCGCCAGAGGCTGTGACCTGCGACCTTCCTGGGACCAAAGCGGGGCCTGGGCAGGTCAGGTCAGCAGCATCATGGCTCCACAAAGCGGGGGGGAGGAGGAGACAGACAGGAGGTGCTCTCGCGGTTGTGTGTGGGGGGGCATCTTTGGAAGAATGTGCCCCCTCCCCTCCAGAACATCTCCATTCTTGATCTCGAGTCCGCTCATCACCACCACCACCACCTGTCCGTCTTCCCTCCCCGCCCCCGTGTCCTCGACACTGGGGTGGGGGAGGGGGGGGACCGAGGAAGGGGTGAGGGACCTGGGAGAGGCGGGGAGTCTTTCACAGTCAGTCAGTGATTCGATGGAAAGATGCAGCCCGGAGCCCTCGCCCCACGGCCGCCCGGTCCGTCACCACGAGGGTTAAAAAAAAAAAAAAAAAAAAAAAAAAAAAAAATCAATCAATGTTCCTGATTTTCCTGCGTGATGCCCGTCACCAGGAGGAGGTTGCAGGCCATGAACTGCACGCTCAGCACGTTGCTCATCTGGCCCGTGTACACGCCCACCAGCTCGCCGGACGAGCCGTCGGCGGCCGCGCTGCAGAAGCTGTTGCGGATGTCCCAGATGCGCACCGAGTTGTCCATGGACGCCGAGGCCACCAGGCTGCTGTCGGGGCTGAAGGCCAGGCTGGTGATGTTGTCCGTATGGCCCCGCAGCTCCTTGTAGAGGCTCCCGGAGGCCAGGTCCCACAGCTTGAGCCGCTGGTCCTCGCCCGCCGACGCCAGGTACTTGCCGTTGGGGGAGAAGGCGAGCGACAGCACGGGGCCGCGGTGGCCCGTGAACAGCCGCACCGAGTTGCCCTGCTGGGCGCTCCACAGCCGCACGGTCTTGTCGGTGGAGCCCGTGGCCAGGTAGTTGGAGTTGGGGTGGAAGCGGACGCAGTCCACGTCGGCCAGGTGGCCCGCGTAGATCCGCAGCGGGTACGTCCGGTCGAAGGACCACAGCCGCGCGGTGCGGTCGTGGGACCCGCTGGCGAAGTACAGGCTGTAGGGGCTGATGTCCAGGTCCCACACCGGGTAGGCGTGGCCCTGGTACAGCACGGTGTTGGTGAAGGTCCCCAGGTCCCAGTACCGGATGGACATGTCCTCGGAGCAGGACAGCAGCCCTGAGCTGTCGGCCAGGAAGCGCGTGCTGTACACGGGCCCGCAGTGCCCCCTCAGCGTCTTCATCTCCGTGCCCGCGGCCTCCTCCTCCTCCTCCTGGGCCCCAAAGGGACAGAAGAAGAGATGGTTAGTGGTCCCCATGAGACACAAAATCCGGGGGTTGGGGGCGGGGGGGAATCTGGCCACGCAGTGCATATCCTATAGAATAAAAGGCTAATATGCAAATTGTCCCCTTGACCAGGAGTTCGACCAGCAGGCAGGTCGGCCAACCGCCCATGTCCCCTCCCCCTGGCCAGGCTGGCCGGACCCCACACCATGCACGGATTCATGCACGGGGCCTCTAATACACACACACACACACACACACACACACACACATTTTAAATTTATTTCAGAGAAGGGAGAGGAAGAGAGAGACAGAGATAGAAACATCAATGATGAGAGAGAAACATTGGTCAGCTGCCTCCTGCACACCCCCCGACTGGGGATGTGCCCGCAACCAAGGCACATGCCCTTGACCAGAACCGAAGCTGGGACCCTTCCGTCCGCAGGCCAACACTCTATCCACTGAGCCACACCGGTTTTGCCAAAATAATAATTTCCATCTCTTCTGAGGTTAGGCATGGGCATAATTCAATGGCTGCAGGTTACCCAGCATTCGTTTGCTATCGGATGAGGGTTCAAAGTCAAGAAGCCCCTTCTCGGTAAGATCAGTCCCGTCTGGAAAGAACATTCTGAGCAGACGCGCGAGACAGGGGCAGGGAAGGGAGAACGCCACCCCTACCTCCTCTTCCAGGACGTCGCAGGCCAGGCGGATGCGGGACACGTCCACCTGGTGCGGCTCGGCCTTCAGCTTCTTGGACCGGAGGCTCCAGAGCTTGATGCAGGAGTTGTCGAAGCCGGCCGCCAGCAGCTTGCCGTCGGGGGAGATCTCGGCGGCGTTGAGCAGCTGCTCCGTGTGGTAGAAGGCGTAGAAGCAGATGGTGGTGAGCGAGGGCGGGCCCTCCTTGACGCGCCGGATGCTCTCCTGCAGGACGTCCAGCGCGGCCTCGTTCTGCAGGATCGGGCCGGGCACGTCGGCGGGCTCCAGGCCGCTGCCCTCGCCCCGCGAGGAGCTGCCCCCGCCGCCCCCGCCGCCGCCGCCGCCGCCGGCGTAGAGCTGGTAGTCGGTCCTCTTGACGGGCTGCACGTCCAGGTGGATGTGCAGCGTGAGGACCCGGCACAGGGCCGCGTTGTTGTCGCTCTGGAGGTAGCGGATCAGGTAGTGGTAGCTGTCTTCCTGCAGGCGGACCACGTACTTGTTGTCCAGGAAGGCGCGCAGCTTGAGGTTGGACAGGATGTCCTGGAGCGTCTGCGTGGCCTGCAGCTGCTCCACCACGTCCTTCTGGCTGGCGTTCTGCAGGAACATGCCGTGGAAGCGGCTGAAGAAGCTCTCGGCCGTGCTCTTGGGGCTGTTCTGGACCAGGTGCAGGTGGAGGTAGACGAAGAGGGGGTACAGGAGGGGCATCACTTCGTGGCTGTGCTGCGAGTCGGAATCTACAATGGAAAGGGGGAGGGCTCGACAGTCAGCATCATCCCCCCCGGCACACAACACGAGGTCGGGACCCTATTTTCTTATTTATTTTAAATATATTTTATTGTGTTTTTTTTTTTTCTTTTTCCAGAGAGGAAGGGAGAGGATAGAGAGCTAGAAACATCAATGAGAGAGAATCATCGATCAGCTGCCTCCTGCACACCCCCTACTGGGGACGCGCCCGCAACCAAGGTCCATGCCCTTGACCGGAATCCAACCGGGAACCCTCGAGTCCTTAGGCTGATGCTCTATCCACGGAGCCACACCGGTTTTGGCTATTTTTTATTTAAAATATATATTTTATTGATTTTTTTTTTTACAGAGAGGAAGGCAGAAGGACAGTTAGAAACATCTATGAGATCCATTAGTTGCCTCCTGCACACCCCCTGCTGGGGATGTGCCCACAACCAAGGTACATGCCCTTTAACCGGAATCGAACCTGGGACCTTTCAGTCCACACGCTGACGCTCTATCCACGGAGCCACACTGGTTAGGGCCGCAGGACTTGTTCTAACCCGGGAAAGGCTCCTGGTGCTGAGGACTCACCGGTGAGGAAGTTCCGGAGCCGCCCGAACTGCACTTCATACTGCTGGGGCTCGGCCTGGCACGGGGTCGCGGACACGATGTTGGCACAGCCGGACTCTGATTGGACTAAGGAGAAGGCACACGATGGGGATGGAGAAAGAATTATTATTCTTCTTTTAAACAGATATTTCTATTGACTTCAGAGAGAAAGGGAGGGGAAGAGGGAGAGAGAAACATCAGTGATGAGAGAGAATCATGGATCAGTTGCGTCTTGCACGCCCCTCCCTGAGGATCGAGCCCGCAACCCTGGGGACGTGCCCTGACCGGAAATCGAACCCTGACCTCCAGGTCATAGGTTAACACTCAACCCCTGAGCCACGCTGGTTGGGCAGAGGAGATATTTTTAAAAGACATATTTTCATTGGCTTCGGAGTGGAAGGGACCTTGCCATGCCTCCCCCTGCCTCCTGCCGCTGGCCCGGAGCGGCCGCACCCACCGGTGAGGTTGGCTGCCATCTCCTCGGGGGTCTGGGACAGGCGCAGGCCTTGCTTCAGGGACCCGTCGGTGTCCACGTACTGCCGGCGCTTGAGGTAGCAGGACACGGCCATCTGAATCTGCTCGGTGCGCACCCGTTTCATGACCTGGAGGGAGGGGGAGGGGACCAGAACACGGGGCCGTCAGGGATCTGGGGGCGCATCCGGTGCAGCTGGGATGCCTCCCTCGTGGCAAATCAATGCTAGGAAGAACCAGCCCCGAAGTGGCTAAGAAGCAACACCGACTCAAGTACCAGCCGGTGGATCACCCCGACTCCACTGAACGCCCAGATTCCCCCACCCCACCCCGAGCTTTTCCTTAGACGCGTTCAACACGAAAACAAGACGGGATGCTGGGCCCTCTGGGTCTCCTGCCGGCTCCCCAGGCCGAGAAGCAGGCGGGAGGCGGCACCAAGCAAAGGTCTGGGATGACGAGATGCCAGGAAAGGAGAGACTGCTAATGGGGACAGGGAATGCTATGCTCTCCGCTCCCTCCCCCCCCCCCTTTTAAATAAATATATTTTCATTGATTTCAGAGAGGAAGGGAGAGGGAGAGAAACATCAAGAGAAACATCGACTGGTTGCCCCCACGGGGGCCAGGGACCCAACTGGGAATAGAACGTGTAACCCTTCCGTCTGAGAGCCACGCCAGCCCGGGCTTCCATTATTATTACTTTTCAAAATTTAATAAATCTTTATTGTTCAGATGATCACAATTGTTCCTCTTGCTTTAGTTATTTTTAAATGAAGACTCTGTAATTGCTAACAGAGGATGCTGCTACTTGGAAAGTGGGGGTCCCCGCTCCGCATGCACCTGTCCATCAATGAAGACAGACCAGTTTCTCTGTGGTTAGCTACAGTATCAGTTTGTCGGCTCCCAAGATCCTCCAGGGTCCCTAACCTGGCTACACTTAAGTATCGAGTGTGTGTGTGTAAACACTTTCAGCCCCCAGACCCTGATTCAATGTTATATTTAGAGGGAAAAAAATTAAAGGCAGAGAGATGGCGACAGGCCTGTCCCAGTTTGGCCCGAAGCCATGGCTATTCTGTCAACCCACCAGCTTTGCTTCCCCCTCCTCGCCAGCCCTCCAGCTAAAGGTGCTTTTCATCCAACTTCAAGAATGCTCCGTCTCCAAACTCGCCCGAAGCAGCCCCATTTCCTCATATTTTAGCCGAGGCTAAAACTTGTCCAGATTTCCCACGACCCATCTCTCGTCGCCATGGGGATGTACCTTGTATCAGTGTGTGTTCCTCTGTGTTCCAAGCAAGAGCAGGGAGTCAGGGACCGTATCTCTAAAGAACACTGATGTGGGAGATGGGAACACGGAGACACAGGAACAGGCCCTGCGGCGACACAGAGTCCTCGGGGCGCGACAACGTGTGTGTGCGGGTCTGAGGGGGAGGAAGGAGGAAGATAGGAGAGCCGAAGGGGGGTCAACAGCAGGGCGAGAATAGGGAAGCTAGGGAAATCTGGCGACATTTGGGACCGCTGGAAACTGGTTTGTAAATCCTCATTTTAACAAACCTGTCCAAATGGCCATTTCCATGGATCCGAACCAGCGCTTACAACACGGCACTGATCCATGGTTCTCTCTCACATTGATGTTTCTATCTTTCTAAAAATCAGTAAAAACATGTTTAGAAATTCTCAAAAATAAAAATCTGGCTCTAGCTGGTTTGGCTCAGTGGATAGAGTGTCAGCCTGAAGACTCAAGGGTCCCAGGTTCGATTCCGGTCAAGGGCATGTACCTCGGTTGCAGGCACATCCCCAGTAGGGGGTGTGCAGGAAGCAGCTGATTGATGTTTCTCTCTCCTCGATGTTTCTGACTCTCTATCCCTCTCCCTTCCTCTCTGTAAAAAAAACCAATAAAAAATATATTAAAAAATAAGGTTGTTTTAAAAATAAAATAAAAATCTGTAGAGAAGTCAGTCCCCCCCCAATTGATTTCCATAGTAATAATATCCATAAATGGACACATTAAAAAAAACCCAACTCGTTAAAATAGACCTGTCACTGGAGAGACACAGACATATATTGAAATTTCAAGTTAATCTGCTTCGCCTTTTAAATGATAAAAATCCTTAAAATGTAAATTGAGTTTGGATATAATTATTATATCTTTGTTGAAATTTCAGAATTTCCCAGGATTTTAAACTTCCATACAATGCCTTAACTTTTCCAGGTAAAAAAGAGGTGAACATAGAACTTTTCCCTGTATGTCACATGATCCGTATTTCTGGAATTTAAAAGGAGGATTCTCACACAATATGTATCTCTTTCTCAACCGTTCAATAGCGCCTGCTGTGTAGCGAATCCTCCAACAAAGTTGCTCTATAAATTGGGACATGATTATTTCCCTGCTTCATAGTAACAACCTTTCAGGAGAAACCACAGGAGCGTGGGGTGCAAAGACTTCTGGGAACCCGGCACATGTTTAAGCATCATGATGGCACCATGGGGACCGCATCCTAACTCCACCCGCTCAAGTTCAAATGCAAATGCTATGGCCAGTGGAGGGGTGCTTGGAGAGAGATTTTTCCCGAGGATATTTTCCCACTGATTTTTAGAGAGAGTAGAAGGGAGCAAGGCTTGAGAGAGAAAGAGAGAAAGAAAGAGAGAGAGAGAGAGAGAGAGAGAGAGAGAGAAACAACCTCCAATTTTTCATCGAGCAGGACTATCCAATTCGACTTCCTGCACTGACAAGCTGCTCTAGGGCTACACTGTTTAGTCTGCAACCCCCAGCCCCCAAACACCAGTGCAATGAGGGAACTGAACACTACATTTTAGTTACATTAAATTTAAGTAACCACACGGGGATGGATAATGGACAGGCGGTACAGCTCTGGAGCTGGCTGTTACTGTGTAACAACATCAGCGCCTCAGCTTTCAGAGGTGAGCTCACCACGTGTCCCAAAACATTTCTGATGACTAAACACTAATACTTTGTTAAAGAAACAAAACAAAAAGAAGAGCTACTTTTTATCACTGACAAACACTGTCCGATCACTAAGATAGAGATGCATTTCAATACATCTTCCCAGAAGGAAACTTAATAGCCTGCTAAACACAAAGACTTCTGAATGGAAGGTCTCTGTGGTGTTTTCAAAGTCTCGCCAGTACGCCTTCCTTAAGTCTCCTTCAAGTTAAAAAATAAGAAGGAGCCCTGGCCGGTTTGGCTCAGTGGATGGAGCATCACTGGAGCCACCCACACTGGCCCTCCAACCTGGCTAGGCTACGGCCCATCCACGCGTCACAGCTCAGCTCAGCTGCACCATCTCTTCCTTCCAAACGCTTCCTTGAGCCCAGCTGGCATGGCTCAGTGGTTGAGCACCAATCTATGAACTAGGAGGTCAGGGTTCAATTCCCAGTCGGGGAACATGCCCAGGGGGTGCAGGCTTGAGCCCCAGTGTGGGGTGTGCGGGAGGCAGCAATCAATGATTCTCTCTCACTACTGATGTCTCTCTCTCACTTCCTCTCTAAAATCAATAAAAATATATTTAAAACAAACAAACACACAACAACACCCAACCACATACAAGCCCCCGACCCCCGCAATACACACGCGGCTTCTGAGCAGCGAGGTGAGACCTGCACCCAGTTTCAGGGGGAAAGCAGCATCCACAGACTTCACCGCTCAGAGGCAGGAGCCCCCGAACCGTCCCATCGGACTCATCGCCGATCAGATCACCGAGAAAAGTGCTTTGGTTTTTCTGGTTTCACAGCGGCTTTCAAGGCAGCAGGAAGGACGGGATCTTGGTAGCAAAAAAACAAAGCTTGTTTGCTTCACATGTCACCAAAGGAACTCAGGCCCTCAAGGCACCTGGCAGGCATTCTGACGGAAGGGGAAGGGTAACAGCCAACAGGTCATCCTCCCAGCGTGCTTCCCCCACCCCAGGCATGGCCGCCGACCCTAGTCCTGCCTGGGGTCCCATGTCCCAGATCCATCCACCCACGTGGCATGGTTATATGGTGGTAACCTCAGGCCTGTGTGGTTCCCAAGCCCCCATCCATCTTGCCAAGTTTCTCTGAGCTTAAAAGTGTGGCCAAACTCCGCTTCCTACTCTCATTTTTCAAGATGTTGAAACAGAGCGCGGGCTTAGGCTGGGGGACACAGCGACCCCCCCCTCCCTTCCCCCCCAACTCAGGTATAGGGCACATTTGTATCACCTTACAGACCCGCAACCTCCGCCCCTGCGGATCCGCCCAACACAGCACCCAAACGCTGCTCCTGAGCCTGAGGGATCATTCCCAGGCCCCAGCCTGCAAGGTCAGAGGTCAAATCTAGGACGGCGCGGGGTTGGCACTCACCTTTTGGGATCCTAGGAGCCCACGCGCCCGCCCGCCCCGCGATGCGCACGACCCAGACAGACGCTCGCACCAAGAGCCGGGAGCACGCAGCCTGCTCTCCCGGCTCCACTTCCGCCAAGTCTAACAGGACACCCCTGCCCGTCCTCGCCAATCCACGCGCGGCGGACCCACGCCTCACCCCACACGCGTCCCAAAAGCCCGGGGACCGCGAGTCCCGCCTGAGCGCCCCAGTCACTCTCCCCCGGCTGTCAGGCGTGGAAGCCCCGCACAGAGAGCCCTGCAGGGGGGGATCCGCCGGCAATGCCCCCCCTAACCAGCCCCCCCCCCATCTCCCTGTCACCGGCAGGAGCGGGCTGCACATCCTCCGCCCACCACCACCATGTGCGAAGTTGACTCTGGAGTTCGGCCCGAAGACATTTCCTTCTTCCTTCCGCCAGAAGGAGATGGGGACCGGTGCCCCCCACGCCCGGCGGGCCGTCCCGAGCCGATCGTCCGGCCCCCGCACCCGGCAGGACCCACCCACCCCGCGCGGGAACGCACCGCCGCCCGGGCCAGGTGCCGCCGCCGATCGCAGGCCACGCCGCCCGCGCCCGCCCGCCCGCCCGGGACTCGCAGGCCCAGGGCGGAGGCGCGGCCGCCGCGCCCGCTCAGCGCCGGCCCCGCCCGCCCCGCCCCGCCCCCACCGCCGCCGCGGCCGCCCGCGCGCCCCCGGCCCCGCCGCCCGCCCGCCCGCGCGCGCGCCCACCCATCCGCGCCCCCCGCCCCGGCCTCCCCGCCCGCGCGCGCCCCGCACGCACTGAGCATCCCAGGCGGCTCCGGCTCCCCCCGCCGCCGCCGCCGCCTCCGGGATCCGGCCGCTTCCGCCTCCGGCGTCCCCGCCGCAGGGTCTCGCGTCGCCGGGCGGCTCAGCCGGGCCCCCGCGCCCCGCGCCCCGCCGCCCCCGCCGCGGCTCTGGGCGGCCGCCCCATGACTGACGGACGGACGCGGAGCGCGCGGCGCGGGCTGGGCCGCTCGGGCCGCCGTCTCCGCCAATGGGCGCGGCGCCTCGGCGCTCGGCTGGCGATGCCTGGCGTGCGCGCCCCGCCCCTCGCCCCGCCCCGCCCCGCGCGGCCCGCCGCCGCCTGCCGGAAGGAACGGGGCCGGGCCCACGTGGTGCAGCAGCCCCGGAGCCCCGACGGCCGCCCTCGCCCGCGATCCCTGTCCGGGCCGGGCTTGGAGGGGCGCCCCAACCTGGGGACCCATCTCCCTCCTCGCCGGCCGCCCGGGACCACAGGGGAGCCCCAACCTGGGGACCGATCTCCATCCTCGCCGGCCACAGGGGAGCCCCAACCTGGGGACCGCGGGCCGCGGACCGCGGGCAGGTTAGATCCGATCCAGGATCCGCCTGGAGGGGAGCACCCAACCTGGGGACGGCCCGCCGCCCGCACCCGCGGCCCCTACCCAGGGTGGACCCCGAGGCGAGCCGCTTACCTTGGGGGAGACCCTCCGCCCCCGGCCCGGCCCCTCCCGGGGTCGTGCTCGCTCCTTGGGCGGGATTCCGCCCGTAGCCGTGCGTGAGCAGCTTTTGCGTGAGAAATCGCGGGGATCGCCGTCCGCCTCGGGCTGGGCAACCCCCTTCCTGGGTCGGCAGGAGGGAGGGTACCCCGAGCGGAGCGTGGGTAGATGCCGGAGGAAGGTCCCTGGGCGTCTTTGTTGCCAGTTGTGCAGACACTTTGTAACTAACTACCTTGTAGCCCGGGCGATGGCTACAAACTTACTGAACTTGGGAGCTAACGGAACTCGTTGTTGGGTGCTGCTGGACGTTTTGACAAAACAGGAAAATGACAGCGCCTGACGGGGCCTGTCCCGTGGAGGGAGGGGTACAAGGCTCCATGCAAGCGCCCTTCACCAGCGTTTGCTCATTCCGTGGTGAGGGGACGTTCTGAAGGGGGGTCTGTAGGATTTCAGAGCCCATGGATTTATTTAAAAAGTGCAAGCGATCCAACTGGAAATGCTTTCGGTTTGACAATTTGATATAAGAATCATGCATGGACTGCGATTATTCAGTGAGAGAAACATCCATCAGCTGCCTTCTGCACACGCGCCCCCCCCCCCCCCCATGTGCCCACAATCAAGGTATATGCCCTTGACCAGAATCGAACCTGGGACCCTTCAGTCGCAGGCCGACGCTCTAGCCACTGAGCAACACTGATTTCGGCACGAATGGATCTTCTTCCGTTTTGCCCAGTTGAGTTCACGCATACTCACTTACCTTTGAGGATGCGATGTTTGAGCATAGATTATGATGCGTTGAGAGATCGTCATCATCTATACACACACATATGTATTATGTAGACAGTAAGATTCGTAATGTTCATTTCCTGGTGCCTGTTGAGTGTGCCCTTGACCTGACTTTTTCCATCGTGTTCTATTGCAGGTGAAGTGGAGCAATGGCTGCCGTTTATTCTGGCATTTCCCTTAAGCTTAAAAGCAAGAAAACTTCCTGGGAAGATAAACTAAAGCTAGCGCACTTTGCTTGGATTTCCCATCAGTGCATCCTTCCCAACAAAGAGCAAGTAAGTTTAACGGAAACGTACGTTTCTATAACCTGCTATCATTCCCAGTTATGTAGACTGCATGTTGACATTTAGTAAAAAACAAAAACAAAAAAACACACAAAAAAGTTAGAAGAGAGAAAAAGCTGGGGAAGGAAACACAGAGCATAACTATAATATATAGAGAAGTTAGAAGAAACTGCTAGGCTTTCACTTGAAGTTTAAAAAAAAAAAAAATTTTTATTGATTTTTTTACAGAGAGGAAGAGAGAGGGATAGAAAGTTAGAAACATCAATGAGAGAGAGAGACATTGATCAGCTGGCTCCTGCACACCCCCCTATTGGGGATGTGCCTGCAACCAAGGTACATGCCCTTGGCCGGAATCGAACCTGGGACCTTTCAGTCCGCAGACCGACGCTCTAGCCACTGAGCCACACCGGTCTTGGTGTGAAGCTTTTTTTTTTTTTTTGACCTCAGATGAGACCAAGTTGTTTTTATTCTGTGATGATAATCACTTTGCGATGTGAAAGCATCTGTGTCGTAGGCTATTACCGAAGGCGGGGGTGAGAGGGGAGGGTGCCCCTGGCGTTGGGGTTTGGGGGTACCTGGTTTGTCTCTGTCGATGCCGGCGTTTTTATTTCCTTGCAAATTGCTTCACTTATTTTTCGAGTCTGTTTCTTCTTCTCCCACGTTTAGGTCTTACTGGATTGGGCAAGGCAATCGCTGGTGTCCTTTTATAAGAAGAAGCTGGAGCTGAGGGAGGACATTGTTGAAAGGCTTTGGGTCTACATAGATAATGTTCTGCGTAGCAGGAAGCTGCAGCGCCTCCTCAAGGAAGGAAAGACGGTCACCCTCCAGATCTCCCTGGTCAAGGTGGGAATCCCTCCCTCGAGCGGTGCTGTGTGGGTGACATGCATCTCTCTCGACTTCCTGTCAGCGCTGGAGGCTTATTGGTGTTAGGGTCGATGATATCAATTTGCAGGAAATGTCAAGGGGCGGGGGAGAAAGAAATAAAACCCTACATAATAAAATGCTAAGATGCAAATTGTCCCCTCCACCATGGGGCGGCAAGGAGAGAGTGGGTTGATTTGTATTTTTTTTAAAAAAATATATATTTTATTGATTTTGTACAGAGAGGAAGGGAGAGAGATAGAGTGTTAGAAACATCGATGTGAGAGAGTCATCAATCAGCTGCCTCTTGCACACCCCCTACTGGGGATGTGCCCACAACCAAGGTACATGCCCTGGACCGGAATCGAACCCGGGACCTTTCAGTCCCCAAGCCGACGCTCTATCCATTGAGCCAAACCGGTCTCGTCTGATTTGTTGTATTTTGTGTGTGTGGGGGGGGGGGGGGGCGTGGTTTAGGGCCAGTTATGAGCTCGCTTGCTTTCCTAACGCTCAGGTCATCAACGAGAGGATCGCCGAGTTCTCCCTCTCGGGATCCCAGAGGCACGTCGGTGCGGTGCTCAGCTGCTGCCAGGCCATCCTGTCCACGCCGGCCCTCGCAGTCACCTACACGGCCCGGCAGGAGCTGCTGGTGGCCCTGCTGAGCCAGCTGTGCTGGGCGGCCTGCCGGCATCCGGAGGCCGCCGCCACGGTGACCCCGCTGTTCGAGGTCACCCACCTGGCCCTGGGCCAGTACCTCTCGGTCCAGCAGCAGCAGGTCAACCCGAGGCGGGCCTTCGGGGAGCTGACCGGCCACCTGCTCCAGCCCTGCCTGCTCCTCCGGCACCTGCTCTCGGCGGGCACGTGGGCGCAGGCCGGGCCGGGCCAGCTGCGGCCGGCGCTGAGCCGGGACCTCCGGAGTCAGCTGGAGGCCGTGCTGCGCGGCGGGGCCTTCCAGCCCGAGCTGCTCGCGTCCTACAAGGAGGAACTCCTGGACCAGCCGCCGCCCGAGGACGCCAAGAGGGGGGCCATGAAGAGCCTGCCGGCCCCCGCCGACACCGTGATCGCCGGGCTGGCGGACGCCGGCTACTGCGAGCCGCCCCTCCGCGCCTCCGTCGTGGCCGGCTCGGCGGCCTTGCTGTACAGGCTCTTCCTGGACGCCTACCTCAAGGAGGGCACCCAGCTCCTGTGCTTCCAGCTGCTGCCCCGGCTCTTCGGCTGCCTGCGGGTGGCCCGCCTGCCCGAGGGGCCGGAGCCGGAGCCGGGGCCGGGCCTGTCCACGTCGGACTGGACCACGGAGCTCCTGGCCGTGGAGCAGCTGCTGACCTCCGTGGCCGGCAACAACATCTACAACATCGCGGCCGACAAGATCCGCCACGGGGAGGCCCAGTTCCGCTTCTACCGCCGCGTGGCCGAGCTGCTGGTCCGCCGCCCGCAGGCCTCGGTGCCCGCCTGGTTCCGCTGCCTCCGGGCGCTGCTGTCGCTGAACCACCTCATCCTGGAGCCCGACCTGGACGGCCTGCTGGCCGCGGCGTGGGTGGGCGCCGACGCGACGGAGCCGCGGACCCGGAGGGCCCAGGAGGCCCTGCTCCGCGCCCTCTTCCAGACGTACGCCCGGCTCCGGCAGCTGCCGCGGCTGCTTGAGGGGGTGCTGGGGGCGGTCTGCCGGCCGGCCGCCGAGGCCCCGAGGCCTCCGGTGCTGGCCGCGGGCCCCGCCTCGGCCCTCCGCGACTGCCTCCTGGACCTGCCGCCCAGCCAGATCCTGGACGCGTGGGCCCTCGTGCTGGACACGTTCCAGGCCGCCGTCCTGCCCCGTCTGCGGGGCGACGCGGACGCGGCCCTCCAGGCGCTGTCCCTGAGCGCGCTGCTGCACTGCCTGCTGGTCCACGCGCCGTGCCCGGACGCCGGCACGCCCCTGCCCGTGGTCCGGCGGACGCGGGCCGCCATGGACCGGATGCTCCGCGAGCTGGTGCAGCCGCTGCTGGGCCTCCTGCCCGCGCCCCGGGGCCCGGGCCCCGGCCCCGAGCTGTGGCTGCAGAAGGTCAGCGACGCCGCGCTGCTGCTGGCGCACGCCTGGGCCCAGGTGGACGCCGCGTTCGGCCTGAACTGCAGCCGGTATGGCACCGCGGCGCCGTCGGGGGCCCCCGAGGGTGAGGCCCCGGAGCGCTCCGACCTCCCCCCGCTGCTCCCGGGCGTGGAAGCACGCCGCTGGAGGAAGATCGAGAAAGTGGCAGCTCGCTTCGACTCCGCGGGCAGGCTCTGCCTGGAGCAGCTCTACCTGCAGAGAATGAAGAGGACGCTGGTGCAGGCCGCCGGCTCCGCCCCGTCCGAATCGGCCCTGGGGACCCTGCGGGCCGATGCCGCCTGCATCCTGGCCTCCGGCCGGGACAGCCTGGCCCGGGGGGCAGCGGCGGCGGCGGCGGCTCCCTGGGACGGGCAGGCGGGGACGGTGAGTGCGGGCACGTACCCCGTGGCGCACTGGCACCTGGTGGTGTCCAACCTCACCATCCTGGCGCCCTACCTCGGGCCGGACGACGTGCAGGACTTGGCCGGCGTGCTGCTGAGGACCCTGCCCGTGAACGGAGCCCCGGACGGCCCCGCCGCCGCCAAGGAGGAGGAGGAGGAGGGGGAAGAGGGGGAGCCGCGGGTCACGCTGGGGAAGCTCTCCCAGGCCGTGCTCTGCAGCCCCGTCTTCCCCGAGCTGCAGACCCTGCACGCCGCCTTCCTGACCCGCCTCGCCCAAGAGTGCGCCGGCATCCTGCGGGCGGGCGTCCGGGGGGACCCGGGGCCCCTCCGCCAGCAGCTGCCCTGGCTCTTTGAGGAGGGCCCCGGGGACGTGGCTCCTTGGGAAGCCGGGCCCGCCAAGGCGGGGCCCGAAGGTTCGGAGCCCAGGGGGGACATGGCCCGGAGCCTGCTCTCCCTGGTGCAGGGCGGCTTCCCCGTCCGGCTGGAGGAGGGGCCGCTGAGGCGCCTCCTGGGGCTGCTGGACGTGGTGTCCGCCCTGCAGCTGGACAGCCTGGCGGCCCCCTGCCACGCACGCTACTTCCTCCTGCTGCTGTCCGCCGCCCTGGCCTCCCCAGGGGGCTCCTGCTCCCCCTCCCTGGCCCTGAGGTTCCTGACGGCCTGCTACCGGCTCCTCGGCCGCCTGCAGAGAGTCAGGAGCGCCCGCGCCATCCTCAAGGTCATGTACGCCAGCGACCTCTGCGAGATCGTCCTGACCTCGCTGCTCAGGGCCTGCCGCGGGCGGCGCATGGACGTGGACGGGGATGGGGACACCGCCCTGTGGCGGGAGTTCCTCCAGGCGGCCGGCACCTTCCTGGAGCAGCTCCTGCAGGCGCTGGTGCAGGCCAAGCACAGCCTGGTGCTCAACTTCGGGAAGATCCTGGCCTTCCTCTCGGAGGCGGCCGCGGGCGCCCGGCCGGGGCAGCGCAGCCCCCCCGGCCGGCAGCTCCTGCTGGTGGCGCTGACCACCCTGTGCCGCGCCCTGGGGCCCGTGGTCCGGGAGCGGAGGCCGCAGCCCGAGGCCCCCGAGGCGCTGCCAGGGCTGCTGCGGCAGGCGGTGCTGCGGACGGGCGAGGCGCTGCAGCCCTGGCCGGCCCGGGGCCCCCCGCCCACCGCCCCCCTCGCCGCGGTCAGCGCGCTCCTGGAGGCCGACCTGGGCCTGCACCCCGAGACCGAGACCGAGACGTCCCAAGGGCCGGACGGGACGCGGCTCTCGCACCCGGCCCTCTACCGGACCGTGTACTCGCAGCTGCTGGCCGAGCTGCCCGCCCTGGCCCGGGACGCCCCGGCCTTCGGGGCCGCCGCGCACTTCCTGGCGCTCTTTGTGCGGGCCCCCGAGCTGCACCCCGCGGGGGAGCCGGTCCTCGACGCCGTGTTCCACTCCGTGAGACGGGTCCTCGCAGGTAAGAGGCCTCCTCTCGGGCCAGAGGTCAGGTGCAGGCAGGCGGGGCAGGCGCGGAGGCCAGGGGGATGGCAGGTGAGCCTGGTGTGTGGCCGACACCCCGCAGGGGGAGCCCCAGGGGCTGGGGCTGGGGCCGGGGCTGGGGCGCCCATTGCACTGGGGAGGGGGTTGAGGGGCATGGAGACCCCGAGTCTGGGTTCGCACAGCTTGTGGGAAACTGGGAACACACGTCTCAGCCTTCGGTCCCTCTGCCCTGAGTGCCGGACGCAGCAGGTAAAGACGGGGTGCAGGATGGGGACGGCCTGCAGCGGCCCCACGGCTGGAACAGTAACGGCCGCCCGGCCGTGTTAGGCCTGCCGGGCGTCGTGTGGGAGCGCCTTCTGGCCAGGGATGCCGGGCCCTGCGGGTCCCCGGCTGCACCCCACGTCGGCCGGCGGCCGCTCTGATGGACCCCCTCCCCTTTCCGGCCCCGTCTTCCCCACAGACCCCGCTGTCCCGGCGCCGGCCGTGCAGGCCATCGAGCCTCACCTAGGCGCCCTGCTCGCCCGCCTGCTGGAGGCCGGGAGCACCGAGGACTTCCGGGCGATGCTGCAGTGCGTGCTCCGAGGGCTGGACCTCAGGAACGCGTGGAGCGCGGACCGGCCGGTGGGTGACCCCTCCCCCCCACCCTGGGCCTCTCCCAGCCGGGTCTCCCCCACCGGCACGCGGATGGGGCGCCAGCGGCCGGTCGGTCCCGGGGGGGCCTCGGCCGGGCGGTCTCTGCCACGTTTCTCTCTCTCTCTCTCCCCACAGGCCATCTTGTCGGCTCTGACGCTGATCAAGTTGCTGCTGGACTGCCCGGTCAGCGAGGGGCAGGCGAGCCTGTTCTGGCGGGCGAGCCCCCAGATCATCACGGCCCTGACTGTGAGTGTGGGCCCCCCCCTCACCCCGATCCCCCCCACTCCCGGCGCCCCTCTTCGGCCCAGACCCAGGGCGGGGCGGCCTCGTCGCTTCCACCTGCCCATGGACCTCACCGGGCAGACGGGAGCGGGGACAGCCTGGCTCAGGCCATCTCGCTCCTCCTCCCGCAGCTGCAGACCCGGGAGGCGTGCCAGGAGCAGCCCGCGGCCGTGACGGTGGTGGAGTCCGTCCTGGACGTCCTGGCCGTGCTGCTGCGCCGTGGGGAGGGCGCCATCCGCAACCCGCACCACGTCAGCCTGGCCTTCGGCGCGCTGCTGGCCGTGCCGCTGGACCGCCTGGCGCCCCCGGAGCTCGGGCGCGTCTTCCCGCGGGCGCACAGCGTGCTCTTCGCCATCCTGCAGTGCCACCCCAAGGTGAGGGCCCGGACAGCAGCCTCTCCTTTCCCTTTTTTGGTTTTGATTGATTTCGGTGAGGAAGAGGGAGAGAGAAGCCTCAGTGATGAGAGAACCATGGACCGGCTGCCTCCTGCACGCTGGAGGATGGAACCCGCTGGGGATGGAACCCGCAACCCCGTGCCCCGACCCCCGCTGGGGATGGAACCCGCAACCCCGTGCCCCGACCTCCCGTGTCCGTGTTCGTTCCAGGTGATGCTGAAGGCCATCCCTTCTTTCCTGAACTGCTTCCACCGGCTGGTGCTGTCCGTGATACGTGAGGGACGGCAGAGAGACAAAGGTAATTTGGCATCCTTTCTCTCTCTCTCTCTCTCTCTCTCTCTCTCTCTCTCTCTCTGAAAATCAGTAAGCTGCTCTTTTTATACAGATACACGTTTTTATTGATCTCAGAGAGGAAGGGAGAGGGAGGGAGGGAGAGGGAAACATCAACGATGAGAGAGAATCTTGGCTCAGATGCCTCCTGCACACGCCTCCTTGTGGGGATGTGCCCACCACCACAGCACATGCCTGGGACCCTTCAGTCTGCAGGCCAGATCGACGCTCTATCCACTGAGCCGCACCAGTCAGGGCTCTTCCCTTTACAAAGAGCTCGTTAAAGAGCGGGAGAGAGGAGAGCTGTGAGGAACGTGGGGCCGCGGGGACCGGGTGGGATCAGCAGGGGGGAGCGCCCACGCGGGGGGACCCGTGGGCTCGGACACGCTTTGCCCTGCAGGCGGCGCGGAGGACCTGCCGGGGGTGCTGGCGTGCGCCCGCCTGGTGGAGAGGATGTACAGCCACCTCGCCGCCCGGGCCGAGGACTTCGCCGTGTTCTCGCCCTTCATGGTAGCCCAGTACGTGACGGAGGTGCAGAAGGTAAGCCGGCTCCCTGGTCTCATTCGTGCGTCTCGGTTTTTTTACCTTTGACCTCAGAAGCCAGAGGCCTTGGGACTCTACCCACTGAGCCACACGAGCGAGGGGCCAGAGTCCAAGTCTTCCTGCTCCCAGTAAAGACATGGCCGTCGCGTGCTCATTTACCTGAAGCGACGACCCCCGTGGTGCTTCAGCCCCGGTTTTTGTGCACTTGAGTTGGCTTCTATTTTTTCCCCCCCGAAATATGAGCTTGAGGTAGGCGTGCTCAGCATGTCAGCTGGTGGAAGACGATGCGTTAAGTTGGAGGCAGTCGTGGGAACTCCTGCGCCGCGCTCACGGGCGTGTCCTTTGCCAGGTCACCTTGTACCCGGCCGTGAAGGGCCACCTGCAGGGGGGCATCTTCCTCATCCTGGACCTCTGCATCGAGCCCGACGTGCAGTTCCTGCGCGCCTCGCTGCCCCCGGGCGTGCGGGACGGCTTCAAGGAGCTGCACAGCGACTACGTCAAGTACCACTGCGCCAAGCACGAGGGCGAGAGGCGGTACGCCGTCTGAGGACACGGGGAGAGGCGGTGCCCGTCTGAGGACACGGGGAGAGGCGGTGCCCGTCTGAGGACACGGGGGGAGAGGCGGTGCCCGTCTGAGGACACGGGGGGAGAGGCGGTGCCCGTCTGAGGACACGGGGAGAGGCGGTGCCCGTCTGAGGACACGGGGGGAGAGGCGGTGCCCGTCTGAGGACACGGGGAGAGGCGGTGCCCGTCTGAGGACACGGGGAGAGGCGGTGCCCGTCTGAGGACACGCGGGGAGAGAGGCGGTGCCCCGTCTGAGGACACGGGGGGAGAGGCGGTGCCCGTCTGAGGACACGGGGAGAGGCAGTGCCCGTCTGAGGACACGCGGGGAGAGAGGCGGTGCCCGTCTGAGGACACGGGGAGAGGCGGTGCCCCGTCTGAGGACACGCGGGGAGAGGCGGTGCCCCCTTCTGAGGACACACAGGCCTGCATGGTGACCTATGAACCAGGAGGTCAGGGTTCAATTCCAGGTCAGGGCACATGCAGGAGGCAGCAGATCCATGATTCTCTCTCATCATGGATATTTCTCTCTCCCTCTTCCTCTCTGAAATCAATAAAAATCTACTTGTGCTTTGTGTGTGTGTGTGGTTTTCCCCCCCATTTTATTCTTAATCTATTTTTCTTATTTAAATTCTTTGTTCAAAGTATTACATACAGTCTCTCCCCCCCATTGACCACTTCCTGGTGCTCCCACCCCCAGCACCTGCCCGAGACCCTGCTGTTTTCTCTGCTGGGAGTTCAGGGAGCGGGAGGCAGGGATTCTAGCCCTGATTCCTCTGCTTTTGGAGTGTCCCTGGGGCACAGGCCGGCACGGAGCAGTCCCCCAGGTGTCCTGATGGTGGCACTGCAGAGCTGCGTTGGGAAGGGAGCTACTGGGAGGGAGGAAGGAGGAATGAGGGGTGCGCACCCCATGTCCTCCCAGCCCTGGGCCCCCGCGCCCCAGCAGGGCCGGTCCAGCGTCCTCACCGCCATCGCCGCTGGCACTCCAAACCTCTCTCCTCAGGAAACAATAGTTTCCAACGCTATTTTTTCAGAATTTTTTAAATTGATTTCAGGGAGGGAAATATCAATGATGCGAGAGAACCATTGACAGCTCAGGGAGTTGCCGGGAGCTTGACCCACATGGTCCCAGGCCCTCCCGGTCCTCAGTGCCGGGTGAGGGCAGGTGCCAGAGGGGTGGTATTTCCTTGAGAAGCAGGAGGACCGGGCGTGAGCGGAGGAGTATGCATACGCGCAGGATGATGCATGAGCAATCTCTGCACCCACTTCCCCCGGGCCTCCCCGGCATCTGCCCCCAGGCGGGCGTGAAGCTGCTGGAATGTCTAAGCTGCCAATGTCCTCCACAAAGGTTTTGGAGGGGGGGCCTGAAGGCACCCAGCAGGGGGTGTCGACAGAGGCAAAATGTCACAGAACAGAAATGGCATTTGGGCGTGAAACCACATGGAGCTTCCAGAGCGGTGGGGGCGGCGGCGAGGGCGGGAGGAAGCACTAACATTTAGCCAGGGCACCTCCTCCCCAGTGTGAGCGCGATGGGCACGCAGGACTGCCACCGCCAGCTGACGCGCGAGTCACACAGAGGGACAGACTCAGCTGACACGTTCCACTTCAACTTCAACCACGCAGCTGATGTAAGGCCGAGCCCGCGTCCTGGAAGACGGTGCCCGGCCCACATCGCAAATCACGATTCTTGCAGGAGCCACACCTCGGGGGAGGGCATTACCCACGATTCCCAGCTTTTAGAACCCTTGAAAGCCGAGAGGGAGTCTTAAAGCTACAGGAGGGCCACGGAGCGAGGACTCTCTGGGTTTTTAACTGTTTCCCTCGCTCCACAGGTGCCTCATGTGCATGTGATCGGACAGCCTTTTTTATTTATTTATTTATTTTTTTAAATATTTTTACTAGAGGCCCGATGCACGGAGATTTGTGCAGGGATGGGCCTTCCCTCCCCTGGCTGCCGGCACCGCCTTTGCGTCTGTTCCATGCTTCCGTGCCTCTGGGTCTAGTTTGTGCATCCGTGTATTTTGTGCACGCGATTCCACGTGTGAGTGAGATCGCGTGGTGCTTGCCTTCCTCAGACAGAGCGGGCGGGAGGCTCCCCACACACCTGAGGGCGGTGTGGGAGGCTGTACGCCTGCTGCCCGACCTGCCTTTATCCGGGCCCCAGGACAGGCCCCACGGAAGGCTGTGGAGGCGGGCAGGCAGGGAGCACCATCCCTCCCCCAACCAGAGGCCCCTCTCCCACGGGGTGGGCTCAGGAGAAAAAGCCAGAGGCCTCGGGGTGTGGGCGAAGAACATCCTTGGGTTCCTCTCGCTGCTGCCTCTTTTGCAAACAGGAGGCTCCAGAAAGGCCTGGGGGTCAGGGCAGCCTTAGTGGGGGGAGTCTGATTCTGTCCCTGGAGCTCAGAGGAGCCCACGCCCCCGGCGTGAGAGAGGAGCCGGAGCCTCGGAGCCTCCGGGGGGCGCCCGTCTCTCTGCAGTTCATTCTCAGCACACTGGTTCAAGGCCAGGGCTTCTGCCCTCCCCGCCCCAAGCCCTCGTCGCCACGGCAACAGTCTCTCCCTCTGGCGTTGGCTGTGCATTTCCTGAAAGGGCCTCTGTTCTGGACTCAGTGAGTCCATCTGCTGCTCCCCCAGTCCACCCAGCCACCGCCCGCCCCACTGACCCCACTGCCTGTGGGGACGCCAGCTCCTCGGTCCCCTGTCCACGGCCGCACGGCCTCCCTGGTCCCTGTCCCCTGTCCATGGGCCACTCGGCCTCCCTGGTCAAAAGTCCGACCGGATAGAATTAAAACATCCAGCCCGGCCAGTGTGGCTCAGTGGCTGAGCGTCGACCTGTGAACCAGGAGGTCCCAGGTTCGATTCCCGGTCAGGGCACATGCCCCGGTTGCGGGCTCCATCCCCAGTGTGGGGACCTGTAGGATAAGGTGACCAGATCGTCCAGGTGTCGGCGGGATAGTCCTGATTTCTAACAATTTTTCCCGCGTCCCACGGCGTTTTAAAAAAGTCCCGGTTTTTGGAAAGAATCTTTCCAATGTTTCCAATCTTTCCAAAAATCAGGACTTTTTAAAAACACCTAGGGACACGGGAAAAATTGTTAGAAATCAGGACTGTTTTGGAAGTGGGTTGGAGGTGGCGTTCAGAGCAGTCTGGAGCCCCTGTCTCCTTCCCGCCAGGGCAATCCCACGGCACAGCCAACCGTCCCTTCTCTGCGTGCAGTGTGCGCGCCTCCGGGACCTCCTTTCGCCGCTCCCCTGGGTTCTGCCTTACAGCCCAGCTCCCTATGGATGAGCCTGGGTCCCCGGGATCTGGCCTAGAACTGGGGTTCAGAGCAGTCGGAACTGGGGCCCAGCACAGTCGGAGTTTTATCTCCTTCCCGCCAGGGAACGCCCGCCAGGCACTCAGCCACCCTCCTCTCCGGCTCCGTTCTCTCCGCGCCGCGCGTCTCCGTACCTTGGGCTTTTCCAGCTCCTCCGCTCTTCCTTCTGGCTTTCTCCTTGCTTCTCGTTGTAGAATTTCCAGTCAGTTGACTTTCCTGTAGTTCTGGGTAATGTCCGTTTTATATTTTAGTTGTATTTTATTGAAATTGTTGTGTGCGGCTGCGGCTAGCTGTTTAGCTGTGCAGCCATCTTGGATCCTCTCTCAGATGTCGAAATCAGGACTGTTTATCGCCAACACCTGGACAATCTGTCGCCTTACTGTAGGAGGCAGCCGATCCATGAGTCTCTCTCACCTTGGATGTTTCTCTCTCCCTCTCCCTCTCCCTTCCTCTCGGAAGTCAATGAAAAGGTATTTGTTTAAGAAAAGGCACGAAGAAGTGGTGAGGAAGTGGGGGATGCACGGGAGGCCTGTATTTTAAGAATCGCTCTGAGGGGAAGAAGAGAGTCTTTGCCCGGGAGGGAGACCGTGTAGAGCAATGGTCGGCAAACCGCGGCTCGAGAGCCACATACGGCTCTTCGGCCCCTTGAGTGTGGCTCTTCCACAAAACACCACGTGCAGACTCGCATACACGTACCGGTTTTTGGCCTGGACAAGTCTATTTTGAAGCAGTGGCGTTAGAACACTCAAGGGGCCAAAGAGCTGCATGTGGCTCGCCAGCAAGCCTCTTGATTCTGGGTGTTTTCCTGACAAGCCGACCTGCCCCATCAGGAAGCCAGAATTGGGGGGCGAACGAAGCCTAGACACCCTCCCATCAGACCTTCCCAACACCTCCCGATCAAAGGCACACGTTGCCATATCTGTGCGCACTCTACGAGGGACGGGGCAATGTTCTGGCTCATAAAGAAAGATAGCTTTGCGCCCTGGCCGGTTGGCTCAGTGGTTAGAGCATCCGCCTATGGTCGGAAGCAGTCACAGGTTCAATTCCAGGTCAAGGGCACGTACCTTGGGGTGCAGGCTCGATCCTGGGCCCAAGTCAGGGCACCGATCGATGTGTCTCTCTCACATCAATGTTTCTCTCTCTCCCTCTTCCCTCCCTCTCATTTTTTCTAAAAAAAAAAAAAAAAAAAAATCAATGGGGCTGAAACCGGTTTGGCTCAGTGGATAGAGCGTTGACCTGCGGACTGAAAGGTCCCAGGTTCAATTCCGGTCAAGGGCATGTACCGTACCTTTGTTGCGGGCAGCTGATCGATGATTCTCTCTCATCGATGTTTCTGGCTTTTTATCCCTCTCTCTTCCTCTCTGTAAAAACTCAATAAACATATAGTTTTTTAAAAATCAATGGGAAAATAGCCTTGGGTGAGGATTGGGGGGAAAAAAAAATAGCTTTGAGCTGTGAGCCGTGAGCTGTGAGCCGTGACCGCGAACTGGGCAAGAGACACCATTGTTCTGCTCTGTAGGAATTTGTCATTCGGGGCCCGGGCAGAAGGGATGAATACAGAATACATTTTCTGTATTCTCACGTTGCGTGTACTCACGTGGGTGAGGGGACTCGGGGAGCTGTGTGGCTTATGGCCATTCACGTAGAGACCACGGCGCGGAATCAGAGGCA